TTTTTTGTTTTAATTATTCTTTTAATAATTTACATAAGCTGTATCTTAAAAGGCCCAAAACATAGATACAGAGAACAAGCTCATATTCAGATTACTGCTCAGTCATTCACATGCAACTTTTACTGCATATAATGTTATTTCAGAAAGACATGGCTTGGTTTATCTAGTTAAATATAAGTAATCCATAATAATATTGTTCTACAGAATATTCATTTTTAAATTACTAATGAAGTTAAATCTCTATGGATTTAAAAATAAGATTTATTTTATATCACAACCATAGAGAGAAATTTAATATCATAGAAGATAAATCTAAAAACCCCAAAATATACATAATTTAATTTTTTACTTAGATTTAATCAGTAAAAATAAATGATCATAAATATATAAACTCATTAAAATACACACCCCAGAATAAGTTACTCATGAGAACTGAACTGCTTGTGACCAGTCAAGAAGAGTGACCAGATGTTTGGCATCATATTCCTTGTCTCTTGCTTACAGTTAGGGAAACTGAAGACCAGGGAAGGTAACTTGCCCAAGATCAAAGCAAAATAGAGGCAGAGCTGGATTTACAGCTGAGACCACTGAATCAGAGAGCAGCCTCAGAAAAGGAGAATTCAGAAAGGAACAGTGGCTCTTTGGGATGTGAGGGCTCAGGCAGGGGATAAGAGCTTGGTGCATGGTGGAGTAAAAAGAACATAACCTTTGAAGTCTGAAAGACTGTGGTCAAGTTGTGAATAAGCCAGTAGAGTCATGCTACCATGCACCTATGATTTTACTCTCTGAACCTCTGCTTTCTAACATAACTCACAAATTGTAGACCTGCAAGAGGACAATCAGACACACGTACGGAGTGCTCAGCCCCATGGTCATACAATTGATAGAAGTTTCCTTCCTTCCTCTCCCATCTTTGTATCACCAACACTGCCACAGGCCTACCCACCACCAGCTACACCCCTTTTTGAAAAGGTACAGATTTTTTCTTCTGAATAATCCAGCCCTGATTTCTCTCCATCATGGCCCTGTGACCAGTGCTGGGAGAAAGAACTCCATCTGTGCTGGGCTAATTGGCAAGGAGAAAGGCAGCAGCTTCCTGGTGTCTTCTAGCAGTTGGGTCTGTAAAGACAAAGATGTCCTAGACATGAGTTCTGAAAGCCCCAGCTTTGACTAGCAATGGGAGGGCTGCAGGCTCTAAAGGGTAACATATGCACCCAGGAATATTCTCAGATTCTTGATCCAGTGAATGTAAATTGGTGCAGCCATTATGGAGAACAGTATGGAGGCTCCTTAAAGAACTAAAAATAAAGTTAGCATATGATCCAGCAATCCCACTCCTGGACATATATCCAGAGAAAACTCTAATTCAAAAAGGTATCTGCACCCCAGTGTTCACAGCAGCACTGTTTACAATAGCCAAGACATAGAAGCAACCTACCTGTCCACCTATAGATGAATGGATAAAGAAGACGTGGTATATATACAATGGAATATTACTCAGCCATAAAAAGAATGAAATATGTAAATCAACTATAATTCAATTTTTTAAAAAGAATGAAATAATGACATTTGCAGCAACATGGATGAACCTAGAGATTATCAAATTAAGTGAAGTCAGATGGAGAAAGACAAATATCATATGATGTCACTTATACATGGAATCTTAAAAAAAATGATATAAGTGAACTTATTTAGAAACCAGAAGTAGATTCACAGACATAGAAAACAAACTTATGGTTACCAAAGGAGGAAGACAGGGAGGGATAAAGTAGTAGTTTGGAATTAACATATACACATTACTATATATAAAATAAACAACAAGGACCTACTGTATAGCACAGGGAACTATATTCAATATCTTGTAATAACCTATAAATAATGGAAAAGAATCTGAAAAGAATAAATATATATGTGTATAACTGAACCACTTTGTTGTACACCTGAAACTAACACATTGTAAATCAACTATACTTCAATTAAAAAAAAAAAAAGTACAGTCTAAGCCCGACTCGGAGGAAGGTCTTCGAAAGACTGCGCTATGCCATCCTCCCTCATGCAACCAAGTGCCCCAAAGCAAGCTGACCTCAAGCCCTAGCTCCAAGCATGAGCCCGATGGGCTAAGGCATGGTTCTCAGCTGGCATAATGTTGCCCTCCAGGGACATTTGACAATGCCTGGGGATGTTTTTGACTGTCACAACTATGGGGAGGGCATCCTCAGGCAGAGGTCAGGGACACTGCTAGACATTCTGCCAAGCCCAGGACAACCCCCACAGCAAAGAATTATCCAACTCAAAATGCCAATAGGCCTGAGGTAGAGAAACCCTGGTCTAACTTTAATGGTATCCCCCTCACTAGGGACTGATGTAAGAAGAACTCTGAACGAGCAAAAGATAGTAAGATGTAAAATGTAATTTGTAAGAGTCTTTGGAAGTTTGTCCTGGCTTCTGGAATCTGCCTTTTCTCCTGCTGTGAAGTCTGGAACTGCCACTGCCACTATGCCACTCTTGGTCAGCGGCTCAAAGGTAAGGTCCATACACATAGAAGGGTCGAAGGTAAGGTCCACACGCATAGGACAGCATAACTACTGGACAAAGTTAGCCCTGAAGCCTACACTACCCCTCTGACCTCTCAGTTTTGTGAGCCAATAATTATCTTCTGGTGTAAGACACTTTAGTTTTTATATCATACTCAATACGCATCCTAACTGACTCAAGAAGTGTTCCAACTCAATTATCTGAGAAATTTGAAATAAAAAAAGAAAAGAAAGCCATCATGAGAATGTTGAAAACCCTAGACAGAGTAAGGAAGGAGGAAGGAGTACATTATTTTGAAGCTTCTGAGCTCATTTTCAATCCTGTTTTAATAGCAGAACTTTGTAACAGTACAGATACACCTGACAAGAGAGGGGAATCAAACGCTCCCCAAGAACCATTGCTGTAGAGCCTGACTTGTCCTGTATCTTTCATTCAATCCACAAATATTTCTAGAGAGTCTGCTATGAGCCAGGTAATGGTCTACATACTAGCGTACATACTGGTAAACAAAACAGGCAAGCCTCTGCCCTTGTTGAACTTATATTCCAGAGAAGGGAGATGGACAAGAAACAAATAACCATAATAAACAGTTAAGTTTCATGGCAGGTGACAAAGTGCACACAGTACTACAAGGGTAAAAAATAAGACCAGGTGAGGGGGTTTGAGAAAGCAGAAGAGAGCGTGGTGGGTAACAATTTAAACGCATGGTCAGATTGGCCTCTTGGAGAATTTGATACGGAGGGAGAATGTGATCCTCTTTAACCAAAGATATGAAAGAGATTAGGATATGACCAAAGGGAAGGAAAGCTTTCTAGACAGAGGGAACAGCCAGTGTGAAGCCCTGAAGAGCTTTCCTGGTGTGATGAAGGAACTGCAAGAAGGCAGGGTAGTGGTGGGGAGTGAGATCAGAAGTAAAGGGAGGGGCCTTGTAGGAATTGTAAGAACTTCAGTTTTACTCCCAGAGAAATGGGGAGACACTGAGGGGTTTTGAGGGGGAAATCAGAATCTAGCTCAGATTTTAACCTGAGTTTTCTGGCAACAGTGTTGAGAATAGATAAAGAAGGATAAAACTGAAAGCTGATTGTAGCAATGTAGGGAAGCAATGGTGGTGACTGACGTCAGGCTGGAAGCTGTGGAGGTGGTGAGAAGACACTAGACTACATATTTCAAGGAGGAATCAACGTAATTCACTAATGTTGAATAATAATCAGTATCAAGGCTGCAAAGAACAAAAAGCTTTATTTGGGGTCTTAGGAACTACAATTCAGGAGACAGATTCAGGTAAAACAAAGACTTCTGGAGAAGAGAGTTAGGGGCTTATAAAAGCAAAAGCCACAAGGCTGTTAAAGTCCTTGCAAGGGTGTAAAAATTCTTGCAAGAATTATGATTGGCTCTGATGCAAAAAGGGAAATATTTGTCCTTAAGGGATAGGCTGTCACAAATTATTTAGGGTAAGGATCCAAAACTATCTTATGTTTCTGAAACATCGTACTGATGTTCTGGATGCCTATGTTAAGATAATAAGTGGTCAAAAGTTCGGATTCCATCCAAGTTGAGACATGCTTAAGTCTCACTTTCTCAACAGCTTCCCAGCTCCATTTTAGAGAATTCTCTTAGCAATACTGACTACTCCATTCTAATTTTCCTTTCACACTAATAAAGTGGATAAAAAGCACTACAAAAAAAATTGGCTGACAGAACTCTGAATACAACTCTTCACACTCCTGACTCCATGGCCCTACAGGATAAAAGAGCACTGGGTTTGTTACAGGTTGACTTGTCAAGATGTAATACAATGTTAAGCTTCTGGTTCAAGATAAAAGACACATTGTAACACCGGGAGCAGCCATAAAGTCCTCTAAACCAGACAGCCTGGACACTTCTGCTCCAAGTTGTTGGAAATAAGTCTTCATCCTTGAGCCATCAGCACAAAGTTCCTGCAAAACTCAGTATCCCCTCCAGTGACATCCAAAGAAAAATCAAACCAAACTTTCCAACTGGATTTTATGGATTCCCATGGCCAATTTAAATTCCCGTTACAGTACAACATGGACAGAAAGAGGTACCTTAATCTGTCAATATCTTTTGATTAGGATTGCATCTCGTTTTAGAGAGCCTATTTATCTTCAAGATGACTCTTAAAAGCACATTTAGAAGTTAGGCTTTGGGTAACACACTGAAGAAAATGCAAGTAAGAAATATTTTAAGCCCTTAAAAAGATGTACCCTCTCCTGCTCCTCCAGAATTCTACACAGTTTAGGCTGACTTTTCCTAAACCAGTCCTTCCATCCAGAATTACGCGACTGCGCTGCTGTTGCATATAATAAACGTTAATTGTGTATCATCACGTTCTTTTTGGACTCAATATAAGGCCACTGTCTGCATGTCGAACAGATTGGCTTGATTGTCATGTATTTCCATAACCAGAGCATCTAGATAAGACATTATACAAGAGTTGCACCTACCTGTTTTAAATCACCTTTAGTATAGACAGTGGTCAACAACAGACTCTGCCTCATCAGGGTTTGGATTCCAGCGGTGCCATTTACTTCACAGTAAATGTTCCTTCTCCATCTTTAAAAACGGGGATAATGGTATTTTCCTAGTGGAGTTGTCGTATGGATTAAGTGAGTAACCATTTGTAAAGCCCTCAGAACAGTGCCTGGCAACAGCCAGTACTAACGTGTTCATTTTAAGACCATTATCCCCACAGAATCTCATGGATTTAAATGTAAATTTTCTTAAGAAGCAGAGAAGTCAGAATTGTCACATGTTCTCAACGCTCCCTAATTATATTAGTTGCTCGAGGCTTTCAAAGCATTTGGAACACTGCAGACAGCAGGGAACGTCAGTCAAAAGAAAACATGGGGGAGTGTGAGGGAAAGAGCCCAAGCTGTTTGCTAATTCCAGGTATGCATTCGCCGTTCAAAGACTCAAGTTATGACCCTTCTTGGTCATCCTTTGCGATTATACATTTTCTTCAAAACACAGTTCTGTTCTTAAGAGACACTAGTCCGTACACAATCCAAGAAAAAAAAGCACAGCATTTCCCTTGACTACACTGAGATCTGGGTGAACAGCGGAAGCTTAAACGCTGGCGTTTTTAGAGAGTCGGTAATTAAGACCTCACTGAGACGTTCAATCACCCAAATTATCAGAAAAACAGCAAAAGCGCCACGAGGCCTCAGACCCAGGCTGAACTTGCTCTGGAACCGACCAGAAGCATCCAGGGGCAAAGCCGAGCCTCCGAGCCGACCCGGGCGTGCGGCTGCGCCCCCACCGCGGGCTCTGGGTCTCTCTCGGAGAACGAGAGGCTTCCCCGCACGCTTCCCGGTGCTTTCGAGGCCTACGAGAGAGAGGAGCCTAGGCGAGGACCGCCCCGAGAGAAAAGTTGAGGAGAGTGAGCGATGCGAACCAGACCAGACGCCTGACGCCCGGAAGACGCGCGCGCCGGGCTGCGGCGGCGGCGGAAGTGGGAGGGGCGGGGCGGCGGGTCGTTTCCGGCGTGCGCGGCGGAGCTCGTCGGGCGGGGCCCCGCCGGCTCCCAATCGCGCACAATGAGACAGCGCTGAGCGCCGGAAGTGGGGCTGAAGGAAAACACGGAGAGGGAGCCCTGCCGGGACAGGAAGAGGCGGGGGACCGCGGCGGAGGTGGTGAGTCCTCTCAGGTGCCTTTTCCCCCGCGTTCCTCTCAGGCTCTTGTCTGGCGTGGGTCTCCGGTGGGTTCTCCGGTCTCTAGAGTGGAGGGCGGGCCCGGCCTGGGAGATACGTTGTCTCCATCCCCCGCCGGCCTCCTTGCCCCAGTTGCGAGGACCTGGGAGCCCCCAGGCCGGCGGGTACTGAGCTCTCGGGCTCGAGTCCGCATCTTCACTTTGTGTCAGACCCTGCGGGAGCAGGAGGAGAAGGGATCTGGGTGGAGGCACTCGGCCCTGCCCCCTGTCCTGCCAGTGGGACCTCGGAACCCCATTGAGGAGGTAGGTCACTTCCTGCTTCCTGGTCCCCGCGATGGCTTCGTGGCTAGGAGTGCGGAGACGCCTCCTGTTTTTCCGCCTCGGGTTCGAAGGGTGGAAACTGAGGCAGATCCGGGGCGGGGCGGTCACAAGGGGATCGAAGAGGGAGAATTGCTGTTCCTGACAAAACCAAACTTGTTTGGGGTGAAAGGATGAGGACAGAGAGGTTAGCTGGAGTTGTCCCTTAGTCGGAAAGCTAGTCTCTCTGACTGGAGCGGAGCCTTGGTCGGGAGCCCAGCCCCTCTGTAACCGAGCTGATCGAAGCCTGTCGTTCTGAATAGTGGTGAGCGCAGCCGAGGCCCCGGGGTAGGGAGAGGGGACGGGAAAGTGGAGTTCAGAGATGTACTACACCCGCAGAAAGTTTCGGTTACTTTGTTTAACATTTAAAAGTAATTGCCATCTCGTCTTCAAAAGACTATTTTGGGAGTTCTCTAAAGTACAGGCTTGGGGTGAGGTATTTAGGTTTTGGGGGGTTGGGGGGCGTTGAAAAGAAAAGCTTTTGTTGTATAGGTAAAAGCCAACCAGCTTGGTATGAGTGACATTTTTTATACTATAGTTTCTAAGGCAAATTTAATCTTGATGTTAAATAGTGAATACTAAACTAATTTTCATGAATTATTATAGGACTAAGCCTCCTAACTTCTAGCATAATGCACTGACTATTGGGATGTGATGGAAAAGAAGAGTTTCTTACACGCTTTTGAGTATTTGCAGTAAATGTGTCGTATTTTGTGTACTTGGTATGGTATCTTGTTGCAGTTTGATGTTTCTCCAAAATGCCTTCTTTCAGGTGCAGAGTAAGAAAATTGAAGTCAAAGACCATGGGAGATGCCGCCAAACCTTATTTTGTGAAGCGTACTAAAGAGCGAGGGGCTACAGATGATGAGGATTTCAGAAGGGGTCACTCGCAACAAGATTATTTAATAATGGATGATTATGCTAAAGGCCATAGCAGTAAAATGGAAAAAGGCCTTCCAAAAAAAAAAGTAATACCAGGGAACTATGGGAATACCCCCAGAAAAGGACCTTATGCTGTTTCCAGCAATCCATATGCATTTAAGAACCCAATTTACAGTCAGCCTGCTTGGATAAATGACAACCACAAAGATCAGAGTAAGAGAAGGCTATCTGATGAACTTGCTGGGAATTCAGACAGTTGGAGAGAATTCAAACCTGGACCTAGAATTCCTGTTATAAACCGACCAAGAAAGGACTCTTTTCAAGAAAGTGAAGATGGATATAGGTGGCAAGACGGAAGAGGCTACAGAACTGTAAGACGACTGTTTCATAAAGACCTGACAAGCCTGGAAACCATGTCAGAAATGGAAGCAGGAAGTCCTGGTAATGTTTCCAGCTTGTCAAGTTACAACCCTGAAGTCAGCAATGTCTTTTCTCTTTCATTCAAGTGAATTTTATTATTTTCAGCAATATAGTTCTAGTTTTTCATAGTTTCTGCTAATTTAATGTGATTATTTTCAGGATTGTAATCATGTTATTTGGGCAGCTTCAACAGCCCGAAGTGCATGTATTGGTCCCTTTAAAAGTTTACTTTGCCACAAGGCTCATTTTACTTTAGTAAAAACAAATTTCCTATTGGTGCATTTTACAGAAGATGGTGATCAATATTCCCCTGGGGATATATCATAATTTCTGAGTGTTGTGTGTGTATTTTCTAAATTATGTAATATAGTTTTATACTTGGATAATTAAGGTGCCCATGATACAAATGACAGAATATAAAGTTTAAAAAAAGCTTATTCACTGTAAAAATACAATCTAGACTGTATATATATCCTGCTACAGAGGGAATGTGTCTTTTGAGTGGAACATCAGTCTCCAGAGAAGATTTGCAAGATTTTTTTTTTCTCAAAAGTGCAACATGGCAAACAGGTTGAAAAGCACAAAGTTTAGAAAGTCAGAAATTCAGATAAAAGTTTTGCCTTTTAGTTTCAGTAAAACCAAGACCCATTTCTGAGTGCCCTATTTGCTCAATAATAATTGCCTCAGAGTTATTATTTATACCTTTTTCTAAAAGGTGAATAGATTTTGTCCATGTACCAATAACTTCCATAAATGGGAAGATTATTTTTACCTGATGGGCTATATGTGCTGAAATGAAATACAGTCATAAATTTGAAGGAAAAGATAAGGTAATATTTAGTCTGAAAATACAAATGATGCTTGGAAAATTATTCTTGGAAAAAATGGGCTTTTAAGTTTATTGGCTGTAAGCCTTTTTTTTAAAGTGGCCAGCACTTTTAATGGGTTGCAAAGTGGCCAGCACTTTAAACATTTTTTTAATTTCAATGCTTTCAGGTAACATTGGCACTTTCTAGGCCTCCAGAAACCCTCTCCCTTCTTCTTATCTCACAGTGACCAGTTCATATACATATATATATATATTACCTATAAGGCATTTGCATTTTTGATCTGGATGTTTAGAATACTTAACAGGGAAAAAGACATTTTTTTATCTTCAGTGGGTCTTAGGATAGTTTTAAATGAGAGAAAAGGTGCTGTTTTGTATTTTTTAAGATAGGAAATGCAAGAGAAAATGCCATGTATCATAAAACAGCAACAGACCTCAGTTATAAAGGAATCAAACAGAAGGGAAGGGCAAAAGCTCAGCCTGGTAAATCTTTAAGCCAGAGAGAACTTGAAGGAATTGTCTGACACAGTGCTCCGTCATGACACATCAAAGGTAGAGTCACGATTTCACAAAGCAGGCAGCTGTGGCTCCGGAGAGGTTAAATTTATCCAGCCTTGTTTACAAAGAATGGTAGATGAGGAAGTGGAACTGAAATCGTGTACTGTGCTCCTCTGGCCATGAACTCAGCCTTACTGAACCTGGAATCTGACAGAAGCTGAACACGTATTCATAATTTCTGGGCTTTCAATTTTAAAAGTTTGCATATCTTTAAACGTTTCCATATTACTGTGTCCAGGCAGGGCATGGGCATTTTAATTTAGTTACCAATTGTGGGTCTTTCAGAAAAGAAAAAGTTGGTCTTGAGCAGCATTGTAAAAAGAAAGATTTACAGGTCAAAAGTTTGCAACCAGATACTAAAAGAGGCTGTTTACAGATCAAAAACCTCTTATTCTGTATTCCTATTTAGCCTTAAAAGCAACTTACTTTAGTTTTTTTGAGTGGTTTTGAGTAGGAACTACAGTTTTTTTCCTGTATTTTTGTTGAAGATAATCAAAAACTCCCGGGTTTTCTCCATATGAAATTACAGGTGTGTACTTTCCCAGTCTCCAAATGAAGGACTATTCAGTTTCTAAACCTTGAAAATCTTCATGAAGGAAATACTAAGCTTTGGCATAAGGCATAACATTGCTTACTGTAGAGAGAGATTTAGTTTAGCATATAAACCTTGCAGTGTACCTAGAGGATCCTAAAAAGGATCTCATTAAAGGGACTGAAAATAAAGTTCTTACTAAATGATGTAAGAGGATGTAATGAAAATTCTCTTAGAGTTGCTTTGTACTTTCTGTTTTTCAGTTCTACATTACTGCTCCTACTTCATCCCTCAAATACCCTAGGTTGCCAATTTAATATATTTGGGACAATGCCATTAATGATCTTAGGTAGAAAACACCCACTCAAATACACATGTCCTTTTATGAATAGAATAATGGCCCATATGCAAATAAAATATGAGAAACTTAGAATACTGTATATCGAGAATTCATGTTACTACAAAAACCTGGGATGAGCCAAGAGTCTTCCTCTAAGTAATTATGGGAATTCTTTAACAACATCCACCTTTGCCTTCCTAAATTTCCTCCAGTGAGATTTTATTTGACTGTTTTTATTTGACTGTTTCACATGCAGGCCTGTGAAACTCAGTTCAGAAGGTTATATGGCCTTGTTAATCCTAATCTATTTCAGATGTGAACAGGTACGCTACAGGAAGGAATTTTAGTAAGTTCCTTTCAGTCCTTATATTGTCAGACAGAAAGCTGAATTTGAAAATTCCATCCGTGCTTTAATCTGTTTCAGATCCTTTATTTGACTTAGTCATGTGTCCCTGGACAAGTTACCTATTTTCTTGGACCAGCATTTTCCCCTTCTGTATAGTAGGGGTAATATTAGCGTTCGTGACCAGATCACCATAGGGGTTAAACTGAGGCAGTGTACATAGAGTGCCTGAATTGCATCTGTCACATGATAAAATACTCAGCATTGGTAACCGCAGTTACTATCATCAGACAAAACTTCTGCAGCCATCCACTTCTCTGTATAAAAACTATCAAGTGTTAACTGCTCTTTGGAGGGAAATTAAAGTCACTCTTTCTAGAAGATGATAGCAAATATAATTATATTGAGAAGCCTTTGTGATCAAGAGAGAAGGGGTTAAAAAGATTTGGTTTCGTATCAGTTTCTGTTTTGTGAACTAATAATGGACATTTCTAACAGGTATTGCACATGTTAGTGTAAATCTTTAATGAGTGTTTGCCTAAGAAACTTCTACCCTGAATCCTGAAGTCAGATGCAATTATTTAGTTAGTAATGATAAGCAAATTAAATGAGAATAGACATACCTCTAAGTTAAAAGAAGTGCTTATCTCAAAAGTTCATGCAGACCAAGAGTACTGTCCTTAAGAGATTGTGATAATTTAATGAAAAAAGCAATAGACTGATTTTCTCTTCGAATGACTACTTATTTTTTAGTATTTTATTTGTTTGGTCCAGTTCGATTGCTTTTTTAAAGTAAGTGTATTTGTCTTAATACTTCTTTAATTTTTTTAAATTGCTGCTTTATTGTAGTATAGAAGCTGTTTGCAGAATTTCATTGTATTCATCTTAAGATAGTTTGAGCACAATGCTTGCTGTTTTTCCTTTAGAGCTGTTGGTGATAGCTTTTCTCAATATTAGAGGTCCAGTTAACCCTCCTTTCCTAACAATTTTTTTCAATCAATTGATTCATTATACCTGCTATACAAGTAATGAGTTCCACTGAAAAGCCGATCTAGCAATTGCCTCATGCAGAGCATTTCAATAGGTTTATATTTTTAGAGAATAATTTTTGGTAAGCCACTTAAAAACTACTCAGTCCTCTTAGCACAATTTTAATTGACAAATTGAATTTCATTGTACTCTTATGTGTTACTAGTAGCTTCACTTCAGAACTTGATAGAAGTTACCAAAGCTATTTTAAACAATTTTTTGTAGATCAATCCCTCAAGCATCTTGTTTCACTGAAGTTAAGTTACAAGTTTCAAAAAAGGAATAGATTCTTTATTAGTTATAAGGATTATAGAACTAACCCCAGAGTTTATAAGCAAATGAAATTAGTCTGTTTGGAAAAAAACTTTTATTTAAACTACTAATTGTCTTTTTTTCTTTGAAATGTGCTCATTGTGCAGACATTCAAAGAAGCTAAAGTGAAAGTAAAGATAAAATGGTTTTTTGTTTTTTGTTGTTGGGTTTTTTTTTTTTTGGAGGGGAGGTAATTAGATTTATTTATTTATTTGTTGGAGGTACTGCGGATTGAACCCAGGACCCATGCATGCTAAGCATGTGCTCTACCACTTGAGCTATGCCCTCCTAGGATAAAATGGATAATAGTTGTCCTCAATAAATAAAGTTTTGGCATGGACTTCTTGATATCAATGTGGGAAGAGGGCCCAATGCTAACTTTGCAATTAAATAGTGGTTTTTAATTCTAGTTAAAAATGTAGTTGATTTCTGAGTTCTCTGAAGATACATTGTCCATCTTTGCTCTGTTGAGATTGTTCAGGTATACTTGCCTTCAAAAGATAATTTTTACTACTGCTTGAGTATGTTCAACAGTATATCAGAAAGATGATAAAATCAGTGTCTGATTGAAGTAGTATTCTTCTAAGGTTTCCAAAAATACAGTTTCTCTGAATAGATGTATCCAGATGTGAGGTGCTTAATAAATATTCAATCAATTTATCCGTAGGAGAGCTATATCTTTCCTTTTGCTCTGTGTTCAGATGTCATTCAGATATTGCAGGATTTCATTAATAAACCTGTAAGTTCTGCTTTTTACTCAGAGTGGTATTATTCAATATTGCCAGTAATATTTTTCTCCTAACTTAAGAAAACAAGAAACAGAGGTCCAGACCTAGGAAGCCACGGAGGACTAGAAATGAAGACAATGAACAGGATGGAGATTTGGAAGGCCCTGTGATCGACGAGTCTGTGCTTTCAATGAAGGAGCTGCTGGGCTTACAGCAGGCTGAGGAGCGACTGAAAAGAGACTGCATCGACAGGCTGAAAAGGGTAACACCCTTTATTTGTTAGTTAAGATCCTTGTTTTGGTTTAAAATGTGTTGGTAATTAGGAATATGTGCTTTGATGAATTATGTATCCTACTTTGATATTTAAGCACTACAAAAGTGATACTCAGTTTGACTTAATAGAACTACTTTAATAAATTACTATTAGCATAGTGATAAAGTGACAGTGATATATGAACAATTTTAAAATAAATGGGAAATCATCTTCTGGTGAATTTTTGTTTACCTGTATTTTGTCTCTTTCTCTCTATATATATCTCTATAAATATGTTTGTGTATATGTGTGTGTGTATATATATATATATATATATATATATGTCTCTATAAATCTCTTCGAATTATAGCGACCGAGAAACTACCCTACAGCAAAGTACACCTGCAGACTTTGTGATGTTTTAATTGAATCCATTGCATTTGCTCATAAGCATATCAAAGAGAAGAGGCACAAGAAAAACATGAAGGTAAGTTTAATGGAAACCAAACAAATATGTGTACTTGTCAGTTATTACTTGATATCTTTATGACTTTCTTTTCCTTCAGATTATGATACTAATAATCTTACTATTTATATCACTGAACTTATTTTAGCCAAAATACTTTATACTGGTCAGATATGTTTTACTGGGCAGTCTTGTGAATTTCCTGAAGGACGGTGTCAGGATGAATGACGCCATTGGTAGGACTAGGTATATGTCCTTATGCCAGTAATAATAAAGCAAATAATTTGCCATTGCTGTTTTTAATGTTCCTTCTTTACACTTTTTCCTTATTCTGGCCTTCCCTCTGTTATCACTTTATGTGCGTAAAGAAGTGTGTGTGTTTGATAAGATGAAGACTAACACAGCAAAAGTGAGGAGGGCTAAGAAAAATATTCCAGAATATTCTGCAGGGTGTTGTCTCAGTGAATGGTAGAAGGTAAAAACTCTGAGTCGTTTTTAATCTCAACATTGATCTTAAAAGGAGAAGCAGGAGGAAGAGTTGCTCACCACGTTGCCCCCACCTACACCCTCCCAGATAAATGCAATTGGTATTGCCATTGACAAAGTGGTACAGGAGTTTGGCTTACACAGTGAGAACTTGGAACAGAGACTAGAAATTAAACGTATCATGGAAAATGCGTTCCAATACAAGTTACCAGGTATTTTCTAGATTTGTTTTTCTTTTTAGCTACCTAAAAGTACCCTGTTCATTTTTCCTACCAGTAGAAATTTGTGCTTAATAGAAATTGATTTGCCATGTCCTGAAGCTCGTAATATTTCGTGTGTTTTTGTTTTTCCTGGCTTTCCTGGCTTACGTGCATTGTCATTATTCCTGTCTTCATCATGAATTTCATTGTGTCCACTTACTTTAAGTTAAATGCCCCATATTACTGGAGCACTGTGGGACTCTTGTGTATGTATTTGTTTACCTATTTATTTATTTATTTTATGTCTCTAAGTTTAGTTTTATTTATTTATTTATTAAAGGATAATTGACATACGCTATATTAGTTTCAGGTGTACGACATGGTGATTCAATATTTTTGTACATTACAAAATGATCACCACACCTTTCTACCTATTTAAATTGACACAATATTTTGAGTTAAAATTAAGAGAAGTATTCTGGAGTCATTTTTAGGTTATCTGTGTCCAAAAAAGTTTCTGTTTAACTACCCTCAAAAGAATTGCACCATCTAAAATGGGTTTTGAATTTTAGAAAATTTGTGATAGATTTTGTATACTGCTGAATTCATTTTTCAAGTTATATCTGTGAAGATATAAAAAACTATTTTTTAGAAAACTCCACATTGATTCTGATCCATAGCTAGGGTTGAAATTACTTTTTAAATTTAACACCATACCAACCATAGGACTGTTTGTTCTACTGAAAGATTGTTCATATAGTATATCATTCATGTTCATATATATATATATATATATATATGTACATATATATACATGTGTGTGTGTTCATAAAAGTAAAGGGTAAAAGCTTGCTCATTTACTTATATAGATATCTCATCCTTTATGTTGTAGATAGGTTCCTGAAAAGTCATTTGTAATTTTGATTTTTGTCATAGATTTCCATTGTAAAATTGAATGTGCTTTGTCATGGAAAACTATAAAACCCAAAGAAAACACTTGACTTAAACCTGAAAAAACACTGCAAAGTCCCCTGACGAGAAGGGATAATTTTTTGGCACAACGGTAGTAAAAAACATTGGGGGGGAAATGTCATAAAATAAATACAGGAGGTGCATGTATATTACACGTCTTCCTCTGAAGAGTGAGTCATTTGCTATCTAGCATTTTAAGTTATATCAGTAATATTATAAGTATTTTTCAAAAATTGTCATAAAGGGATTATATTATGTTAAATTAAGCTTTTTGTTCATAGTGTAATGAGTATTCATGTTGAAAAGTAACTTTATGCTGATTTTTTATGATTATTGTTTTACTGAAACATGATCTTTATAGTAAATTACACCTACATGTGCCTTGAAAAAGGTGAAATGTTTGCATTAACCCATTAGTATACTGTCAGGTTTGTAATTGCAAAACAAAGTTAGGCATCTGTTTTAATTTCACATTTTAAAAATCAGTGAAGTATTTATTTTCTGCACAAAATGTGAAATAATAATGTAGTAATTTTTTTAACATGCTTTACAACTGACATGAAGAGAGTGGCTATTAAACTAAACAGCCTTTCCTTTTACATAAAATAAAATGAAGGCAAGAGCAAAGAGTTACCCATTCCTGTCCCTGTTTATGCCAGATTTGCATACTATTTTGCTTTTTGTGTATGATTTTAATTGATCATTCTATTTCTGAAATAGCAGTGTCGTGTTTGAGAAAGTTTACTTTATTTATGACATTTATTTTCATTTTACTTATGTTTTCAGATTGTTCTCTGAGATTATATGGGTCATCCTATAGCAGATTGGGCTTCAAAACTTCAGATGTAAACATTGACATTCAGTTTCCAGCCATTGTAAGTACAAAATGAAATGTTAAGAGTTTTCATGCAATCATGTGGAATTGCTTTTATTTCAAATGTGAGCTATCTATGAATATATTTTAGCTACTTGAAGACAATTTAAGTGTGATTTTTTCCATAAAACTACTAAAAACTACTAAAAAAATTTTAAAGCATTTTTTCCCTCAGATTGCTACTTTTTCTGACTGCCTTCAATTTCAGAGCATTTCTTTTAATATTATACAGATTTTCATACTTACTTTACTCTATAGATCTTTCATACTTCCTTCAAATCCTGGTTTTGTAACCATGTGAATCTGATATGACTATTTAGGTTCTGTTAGCTTGAAAAGATTAAATTATATTGGTTAATCAACTTTCCAATGGCAGGAAAGGATTTCAGAATTCAGTGTTAGATATGTAAACATTTATGAACTGAAAGCTTAATTTACTCCTGAGTTCCCTCTTATATACACCAACTTTGTGAAAATAAGTATGTTTTTGAAGAACCACACCTAGCTTAGATTTCTGGTTTAAACATGATTCAAAAAGATGTTGAGGGGGAGGGTATAGCTCAAGTGGTAGAGTGCATGCTTAGCATGCAGAAGGCCCTGGGTTCAATCCCCGGTACCTCCTCTAAAAATACATAAACCTAATTACCTCCCCCAACCCCCAAAATAAAATAATTAAATAATACAATAATAAATAAATAAAATATACTTATTAAAAAGAAAGAAGGTAGAAAAAGATGTTGAATCAGAATTTTGAAACTGGAAGGCACTTTAATAGATTATCCATTTACCTGCTGGTGGCTCCCACAGACCAGTTTGCAGATAGTTTTTGCACATTTACTTGGGTTGCTACTTTAAAATACAGATTCCTAGGCTCTACCCCCAGATGTTCTACTTCACAACCTCTCATTCCTTGCCATCCCTGACTACTATAGCTATCTGGTCAGCTGACCATGGATTTTGCTATTCTTTTAACCTTAAATTTTGATTAGTAATTTACCAGCGTAGCAGTTATTTTGATTTCATGTCATTCATTCATCTGGAAAATATTCACTGAGTTCATGTTATATGCCAAGCACTGTGTGAGATTCTAGAGGACAAAACAGATAGGATTCTTCCCTCATGGAACTCATCCCTAGTGAAAGAGATAAGTAATTATGTGTATATAATTAATTATAATGAGAGCTATGCAGGGAGACAAGGCTCTGTGACAGAAAACAAAGAGAGTGCAGATGTAGCAGTCCCAAAACCCCTTTGAAGAGATAACATTTAAGCCAAACTCTAAAGAAATGAACAAGGGTCGAGGAATGAAAGGGATAAAAGTGTGTTTCAGCCTGAGGGCACATCATTTGCAGACAATGAGCTTGGCCTGTTCAAGGAGGGAAAAAGAAAATTGTAATATGAAGAGACCATGTCGAGGAAGAGCATCAGATTAGGACATAGAGGTAGGCTGGGGCCCAACAGACAGAATCTGTAGGCTGTGTCAAATAGTTTCATTTTGACCTAAGGGCATTAAGAAGCCATTGAGAATTTTAAGGAGGGGTATAACTACATCTTACTTATGATTTTAAGTGGTTTTTGTTCCTATGTGGAGCAAGCATTGGAGAAAGGCAAAACTAACATGGTGAATAGTAAGCAATCAGTTGAAGTAATTGTAGAGAATGAGATGTAATATTGTTAACAGTTTGACAAGTTCTAGTCACAACTTTGAGATTTGCTGAAAGGCTAATTACCTCAGGAATTGGTGAATCAAGAGTTAACTGTTACAAGTCTCTTTATCTACACTCATCCTCTGGTGCTCACCTCTCTGACTGACAAGTGCACACAGCATAAAGGTTAGTTTCTTTACTGTGATAGCAGTGTGCTTTCTAATTTGGAAAGGAATTGGAGTAACTTCAGATGACTGTGTATTATCTTAGTGAAGCGGAAATGCTTATGGATCATTTGATGTGTTCATTGTTTTATTTCCTAGATGTCTCAGCCAGATGTTCTCTTGCTTGTTCAAGAATGTTTAAAGAACAGTGGTAAGGTCAAATTCTTTCCACATTTTGCTCTTAAATTTTTCTTTTGTCTATATTTTGAATATTATCTTATTGCTTAGACTTGAAACATAGGAAGTCATGTTCTTTAATTTATTTATATGGGTGATATCCAAACAAAAAAACCAAAGCAGATCCCCCTGAGTTCTTAGCTAGCTGATTAGAGTCCTGTTGGTTGTTCTACTATGCAGAATAACAATTTGTAAGTAAAGCTTTTACCTTGGTGATCATGTCACAATTTATAAAGATTAAATGAGTCCTAGACTGAGAATACAAAGAGGCAAAATATGTAAAATATACTCTTGAGGGTAAGACTAAATGATAATCTTCTTTCTTCCATGATTTAAATTAATACTTTACAAATGATAAATAGTTGGGACCCAGCCCAGATTAATGAATCGACAAATAGTCGTTCCCACTTAGGTTTTATCAGTTGTCCAAAGTTACATCCCACTGGAACTTGATTGTTCGTATGCTTTCTGTAAGCCTCATTAAACGGGCTCATCCTTTAAATGAGTCTTTCCCATCCTTTTTTCGTTTTTGTTTTTTTCTTCTTGTTTTGATTGAATGAAGCATTTAAACGTTTTTTCTTACTTCAGTCAATATGTATTTCGACCCCAAATATTTTAGTAGCTTTTGCAGCAGTTTTGTTTTTGACAATGTCCTATCCATATTTCTAATTATGTTGTCCACATAGTATTTAAACGCTCTGATTCAGTAATGTAGTTATTTCTAATCAGACACTAGTTTGGCAAAATAAGGGTTGAATATAATACTTCTTTCCTTTGTCAGTCATTTTTATTTCATAATCATCTTACAAGAGCTTTATTTCGTAATGGCCTTTCAAAAGGCCAAACAGACGTTAGAAGCAGTACTTGTGCTTTATCAAAGTTGTGCTTTTAAACAAAGCCTTAATTAACCTCTTCAATATTCTTTTCTTTTTCCTCAGACTCTTTTACTGATGTTGATGCAGATTTCCACGCTAGGGTGCCAGTGGTGGTGTGCAGAGAAAAGCAAAGGTCTCCGTTTCTTTAAGCTGTTTATCAGTCATAAAGTATCAGCTTGCCAAAAGCACTCTGTACTTTTACTACATCTTAATGTCTAATTTCTAGAATGATAAACTTCTGTGTGATTAATTTCCCAGGCTCACTGCTAGCATTCTGTGTATACTTTTGGCATTTGATGCAATAAGAAAAAATGTTTTACTTTAAAAAGAATAAAATTACTCAAAAGGAAAAAACACAGGAAGGAAGCATTTTGACCCATTTCAACTCGGTAAAAAACAACCCTATCAAATCAGACTTGTTCTAATCACCTTTATTTGCCATCCTTTTAGCAGCGTTTTTAATAGTGCTGAACATGAGTGTGACTTCACCTGGCCATCTCGCCCTTCACCTAGAAGCACTACCACTGTAAATGGGGGGTTTGTAAGCTGTAATGATTCATCATGAGGCAGCGGCCTCCAACTGGAGGAAGCAGTCTTTAGCTCTTACAAAGATGAATTCATGCCCTCATTTCAAACATTTTACAGTATTTCCTTATTTGTATCCCCCCCTCCAAAATAGTTTTAATATATGAAAACACAGAATGTTAGTTCTGAAAAATAAATTTTACTCAGGAAATACCTGCCCTATCTTGTTTTTACTGCAGTGACTTAAATGACCCATAAAGATTTATTGAGTTTTTTATTTTCATTTCTAAGGTATTTATCATCAGTGTAAATAAATTAGTTGTTGGTGCTGCAAGAGATACCTGATGCCTTTATAAACTTGATCTTTCTCTTTTTCCTTCCCATCCTCACCCTGTAATCCCACCAGTGGTCTTCTTTGCAAAGTGAGTGCAGGAAATGAAAATGCTTGTCTGACAACAAATCATTTAACTGCCCTTGGAAAACTAGAATCAAAGCTCGTTCCCTTGGTGATTGCGTTTAGATACTGGGCAAAGGTAGGTTTGAATTCTTTAAATGAATGAACACATTCTATGTATGCATAAACAGTATGCTTTGATTTTCACATGGTTCATCTAATCTTAAATGTTTGGATGCATAGTTATAGACATCAGGAGAGTTGGTATCTGAATATTGGAACAGAAATTTTAATGTGTACAGAAAGGAAAATACAATATTTTTATTTCACTGTAACAGTATTTCTCAAAAGATCAAAATGATTTACGGTACTTATTAAAATCAACTCCCAGAGTTATGTCCCAAAAGTTTACATTTTAACTAGTTTCCTGAGGTGATTTTTAGGCCCAGGAAATTTCAAGATAAAGCTCCTCATACTCTTTCCAGTAATACACCCAGAAACTCCCCTCAAAATGAAACCCACTGTCTGATACATTTCTACAGTATTTTAAATGTGGTATCCCAATTGAAATGCTCAAATAAACACGAGAGCATTTAACATTTCCCCAAAATGTAACGTCCCATCATGATTATAAAGTTGAGATTCTGTGCTTCATAGAGAAAAGCCAAAGCTTTACTGATTAAGACATGGCAGTAACATTAGGTAGCTCCTGTTGCTTGGGTCCAGGATGAACAGAGGATGCCCTACTCCTAGCTGGGTGAGTTGATAATTACAATATGCTGTCCTTTGAAAGCAGCCTCCTGCTTCATCACTAAGTAGGCCACGCTTTTTCTGTTGTTATTTCTGCTAGCGCTAATGAGTTTGCCTACATTCTCTCCCTAATCACCTTTCTGACTAAAACAAGCACTTTCAAGGTAATTGCTAAAGATGAGGGGACCATAAACCTAGGCAAAGCCTGCTGGCTTACAAGTAGAACTGAACCATTATTTTTACTTCATAAACAAGTGTTTGAACCAAGTGAATGGAATTTACCTTGAATGTCCAAAAAATGAAATATTATTTGAGGGCCCTTCACAAGTTGATTTAGTTAAAAAAAAAAGAAAAATTTGAAGTTGAAGCTGCCACTCAAAACCACAACATATCTTTACTGCAAAAGTATAAGGAAGTTTTATATTTGTCACTGTGGAGTTTCCTTCTGAGGAGGAAATCATGTGATACACAGAAATGAAGAAAGAGGTTTTAGACCAAATTACGTAAATGACAAATTGCTACAGAAGAATGCTTATCCTCTTTTCTCTCATTTGTAGCTTTGCAGTATAGACCGCCCTGAAGAAGGAGGTTTGCCACCTTATGTGTTTGCCCTGATGGCCATTTTCTTTCTGCAACAGAGAAAAGAACCCCTTCTACCTGTTTATCTAGGATCATGGGTATAAGACTTTTTTTGCTTATATATCTGATAGTGATTTCATTTCAGGGCCACAATCCCTTATGCATAATTTCAGGGTCCAGAAACCTAACCAGAACTGACATGAATTTATTAATCCTACTATTGTGAATATTCCTGTGTTTCACTGCTGAAATATTAACGGATTTGATTATGAGGTGCAGCCATGTGCTCTGCTAGCAACAGTGTTACTTTTCTAAATTGAAAAAAACTCTTAATTTGTACAACAGGTGATCTGAGGTTTTCAAACAAGAGAATGTGTAACTATATTAATTTATCACTTGGTATACATCTTCTTTGGGTACAGTTTTATAATTTGATACTTGAATTTATATATCACCTCCAGACAGACAGTAGGAAGCATTCGGTTCACTACAACTTTCTATTTCGAGTTTTTTTGTTCTCTTTATTCCCCGTTCCCTGTGAAACAAAAGAAGGTATAATTGTTGAGATTGCTACCCAATACCACAAGATGCAGAACCTTTGAGTAATCACCTCTTAAGTAATGTTTTGCTATAATCTTTAAAATGAATTAGGCCAGTAATGGGACCACTCTTTCTTTCTGGATAAGTTAAAGCTGAGCTGATTTATTCGAATGGTAAGATTTAAGAAGAAGCCATCTCAAAGTCAAAATGAGGTTATTCTCATCCTCTTGGAAAACCTCACTTTTAATCTCTAGGTGTTTATCCTGATAAAATTTTATATGTACACTTGCTTTATAAAACGACTCACTTGGTGAAAGCTTACTTTAGCACAAATTTTCTTCCAATATGCAGGATTCACATCATTTAAGGAGGAAATGTTCTAAAGAAATAGTTCTTTATTATGGGTATATATCCAAAAAATAAGATTTTAAGAATTTTTTTTATACTTAATAGGTTGAGAATTAAACAGGGATCTGTATTTGCCAGGATCTGAGAGTAAGACTAAAGCAGAGTAAGTCCTGTATGAACTCTGTCCTGGCATTAGAGATTTCAGTCCGCTGTGTGTCCCAGTTGCCTAAAGGGAGCTGTCTTTGTTGTGCTTATGGTACTGAAATAAAATAATTCAGGTATCTTTGCTAGACTGCTCTCCTGGTCAAAAAAACGGGTGAGAGAACAAGGTCAACCCTTAGTTGATAAATAAGCCTTTTCATCAGACCCAAGTAGGGATCTATAAAAGTCTTTGATGTTTTATTTTCACTTTGATCCAAGGAGTCAGTAGTTTAGGATGGAACCAAACCATTTGCATTTCTGTACCAAAAAAAAAAGCCTTGGAAGAGGTTGGATGTGTCGCCATGCACACTTCTGTCTTCATGAAATCTGCCTTTTCTTGTGTTCTCATCATCTCTAAAGTAGGCATCTGTCTCTGATGTGAGAATGCAGGGGTAAAGGTGCTTCTGTTTTGGTGACAAGATTCTCCTCATGATTTGCTTGAGAGTAGTATGAATACCCTTTTCTGTGGCAGTGTATATTATTTCCTTGGCAGTAATACTGGAAATTCTCTAAAGTAACACAAAATTTGGTTTTGATTATACCACTTGTTTAAGATTTAATGACAAAAATAAGTATGTGATTCTGGATTGAATTCTGTGGATCTCATAAGACAAACTCTACTGCCTGAACCAAAGTGATCTGCAGTTTTCAGCATTTTAAACTAGTCAAGCATCAATATGCTGGCTTCTGCTAGAGTCTTAGTCAAAAATATAAATCAAGTGAGGGAAAAGAAGTTAAATTTAGTACCTTATTCATGCCAGATATTTTATATCACTATTTTTGCAGAAAATCTGTTGAGATCTTCAAAATTATGTGCTTGAAAGTATCTTAACTATTAATGCCTTCAAAAACTTTAAAGCACTCTGTGTATTAGTCATTGGACTAGGCCCTGAAGGGATTACACAGACGAATAAGACTAAATTCTCTGTCAAGAGGTTTGGAGTATCATACATCTGTGCTCTGATCTGTCTGTTCAAAAATCTTTTAGCCATTCTCTTCCAACCTACTGAGATCTCTTCCATGTTGGAGATTATCCTCTCTGGCTTTTTACTCCCAATTAAAATTCCCATTTTATCATCATTAGAGTTGTGAGTGATGAATAGGTTTAGTCCTATCTTTGTATCTTTTATCCCCTACAGCAATATTTTACTAGTCTCCTGGTAGATATCATTTGGGAACTTTCTTATTTTAGATTATAGAAACTTAACCTTTAACAAACAGTTATCTATGCTTTAAGGATGCCAGATAATATAATAGAAGAGTAGTGTTAAAGTTTGGCAGCCCTGAGATTCATCCAGGATTTGCCACTTAAATCCTTATGACCTTGAGCAAATTATGTAATCTCTGGGCCTTAGTGAAAGGCCCATCTGAAAAATTCTCAAATGAGATCATGAATGTAGACCTCCTGGAACAAAGTAGGAGAACAAATGTCGTCAGTAGAAATTCAGGTTCCACTTGCATGGAGGCATGAACACCTAAACAAATTCTCAACAAAATTCAAAGTGCAACAACGTGAAGGCTCTGGAGACCAAACAGATGCAAACAGACTTTGGAGAGAAGCCAGAAGTTGGAGCAAGTGACCACAGAGTGCATTTCTATTTTTTGGTGGCTTTATTCCTAAAGGCAACTCTGGTAGAAAAACTTTCTGGCCAGAGGAATTAGGGCCACCAGGTAATAAGGGGGGAAAACCCTGGACAGGAAAGATACAGAGAAGTGGAGCCCAGAACACCTCTGACTGACTCCTGAATCAGTCCAGTGCATCATATAAGGGGCTTGGAAGCAGTCACTCCATCCTTACAGAAAGAAAAGAGCTGAACACACCGAAAATCAATGACTCTTCTTAGATCCATCACAGAATTGAGGTCATGGGGAAGACCACTGCCCTTAAAATTGGAGAGAGAGAGGCAAATACAGCGAATTATAACTTGTCAGAGCAGAAGCCCAGGAACAGAATCCTGCCACTGCAGCCACTACCAGGGTAGGGAAACTTAGACTGTGGTTCTGGAGGCTCAGTTTGGACAAGTTTGAAGGTGGAAAACAACAGAGGGACCCAGTCTCAGGGGGCTGGTTTCGTGAGTTTTATCTCCAGGAATGCCTACCAGGTTCTCTGAGTGAAAACACAAAAACAGTCCCCTCATGCATTTTGAAATTGTCCAGAGCATTCTGTTGACCTAAACAAAAGCCTGCCCTCAAGGGAAACTGTTTTACTGGAGCCTAACCACCTTGGGTTTTATCAGGACCTAACCAACCTGGGGAAAGGAAAAATATCCAGCTCCAACCCTCTGTAGTTTACGATCTTACCTCAGACGGGCAAGAGTGAGAAGCTCTTTGTGAAGGTCCCAGCCCAGGACCATAGGCTCACTAGAAGACTTTGAGACCTGATCACAGGGCTGTAGAATGCTTCGCCCCAACACACACAGGACTACAGCATCATTAGGCCACCTGTGTAATCATGAGATAATGGGACAGAAAGACTTCATTTAAAAAGAAATCTCTTGGGAAACCCCAAAACAATAGAGGAGGCAAAAACAAGGATACCAGAGGAAGCTACAGCCCATTGGCATCTACAGCTACAGCAAACAGAACAGAGCCTAACTCCTAGCCAGATGAAAGCAAACCTCACACCAAAGACCTGTCTACCTCAGTTTCTTTTACCCAGCTTTCAACAACAACAACAAAACTATAAGGCATACTAAAAGGCAAAAAGCATAGTTTGAAGAAACAGAGCAAACATTGGAATTATCAGACCAGGAATTTACAAAACAAGGCTTAATATGCTAAGGGCTCCAAAGGAAAGAAATTGGCAACTTGCAAGAACACATAGGTAATATAAGCTGAGAGACAGAAACTAAGGAAGTAATCAAAAGGAGATACTAAAAATCAAAACTAACAAAAATGAAGAATGCCTTTGATGAATTCATCACGCAGCTGGACACAGCTGGGGAAAAAATCAGTGAGCTTTATTCAGTAGAAACTTCTCAGACTTAAAGGCAAAGAGGAAAGAAAGAATGAGAAAGAAATGGAACAGAATCTGTAAGAACTGCAGGACAATTACTAAGGGTTGTAATATACGTATACTGGGAATATCAAGAGAAGAAAGAGGAAGAAACGGAAGGAATAGTTGAAGCAATAATGACAGAGGATTTTCCAAAATGACACACTTCTGAACCACACATGTGAAGCAGACTAAAAACAGTTAAGAGCCAAGGCTTAGAAAACTGAACTGAGATCAGAGCTGCAGTCCACCAGAGATACAACAGTCTACAATTTGTCCAACCAAGTGAATTACCTGTAAAACAAAAGTCACAACACGTTTTGGGATAACATAAAGAATCCAGAATTTTCACAGTACATTATTATATCACAATGTCCAGAATACAATCCAAAGTTACTCACAACGCAAAGAGTCAAGAAAATGGGACACACTGTCAAAGGAAAAGAAATCAACAGATGCCAAACCCAAGATAAGCCAGATGCGGGAACTATCAGAGACTTTAAAAGCCCTTCTTACAACTGTGCTCCACGAGACATGGGAGATACACTTGCATAAGCGAGGTGATAGAGGATATCAGCCAGACAATGAGGAAATGTAAAGAGAACCAAGTGGAATCTCTAGAAGTGAAAAATATAGTATTTTAAATTAAAAAATCTGCATGGGCCTCATATCAGAATGGAGATGGGAAAGAGTAAATATGGAAATAGATAAACAAGCTAATCTGAAGAAGAGAAAGAAAAAAGTTTAAAATTAAAAAAAAACCGGGGGGGAAGGTATAGCTCAGGGTGGAGCGCATGCTTAGCATGCATGAGGTCCTGGGTTCAATCCCCAGTACCTCTGCTAAAAAATAAATAAATGTAAACCTAATTACACCCCCCCCCAAAAAAACCAACACTGAGCCTTGGGGACTTGTAGAATAATTTCAGAAAAATCTAACCTGTGGGTAGTTTGAGCCCCAGAAGGAGAGGAACAAGAGAATGGGGTAGGAAAAAAATATATAAAATTTCATAACTTTGATAAAAGGACATAAATTTACAGTCTCAATAAGCTAAACAAACCTCAAATAAAATAAATTCAAAGAGAAGCATGCCTAGCTCATCACAAACTGCTGAAAACCAAAAATAAAGAGCAAAACTCAGAAGCAGCCAGAGAAGCACCTTCTATAAGGTGAGGAAGATAAGTAAGTGCATGTCAAGTGGCACTAATTCTCTGAGGAGAAATAAACCGGGGTAAGAAGAACCGAGAGTGAAAGAGGAGGAGCTGTTTAGAGTGCAGAGCCTGAATGCACTCCTTACTGCATGGGTTACCTTGTTGAGAAGGGGAAGAGGCGTCCAAGCAGAGAGGGACCAGCAGGGGTCACCCCAAGCCACAGAGAAGTAGCGCAGAGCCAGATAACCGAGGCCCTGAAACAGACTGAAATTCACCCTGAGGAAGAAGGAAGCTGTTACGAGCAGGGGAGCCCCGTGATGTCTTATGTTTTAGGGTTACTCTGTCTGCCACACCAAAGAAGCAGTCTGTCTATTTGATATGAAATTCAGGACCCAGGATGCCACATCCCACCCCACCCCACAAGTCATTATGTACATTAACCTTTTTATAAGGGTGTGATAGACCCTAGTGTACCTGTCACAATGAAATCTGCTCACATCTGTTCTACATTTCTTAGACCTTTTGAGCCCAGACCATATTTTTAGTAATTTTCATCTTGACAGTATCAAAAGAAACACTTTCTTACTTTTATTGAGCACCTAATATGTGCCATGCCCTGTATCTGAATGCTTTATATCCATCTTTTCATGTCATAACTATCCCATGAAGGAGAGTAGTGTTATGCCTTTTTATAGGAAACTGAGGCCTAAACAAAATGAGGCCCTTACTGAACGTCTCATTTCGTACATGAGGGAGTTGAGATTTGGGCCCAGTCAGTTTTACTTCAGAACCGTGACCTTAGGCCTAAGCCATAGTTCCTTCTCCTAGACTATTTATTAAGGAACTGTTTCCAGAAATCACCATTTCTTTTGCAAATCAAAACCTTGTTTTTTACTTTAAATTTACAGATGTCTCAAAGATACTCCTTTTATAAAAGATACGCAGTGAACTATAAGTATGTTCTCTTTTCATTTCTTCCAGGATTAATATGCCCTGATATGAAGTCGTTTCTGCCTTCTAATAACGTATCTCATTTTTCCTAGATTGAAGGATTCTCATTAAACAAACTAGGGAACTTCAACCTTAAAGAAATTCAGAACGACTCTGTGGTCTGGGAATACACTGATGATGCCACAGGGGACACAGACACAGCAAAAGAAGAGGCACCCAAAGAAATGCCCGTTAAAATGGGACAGGTCTGTTCTCTCCCATTTCTAGTTTTACCATCTATTTTTAATTCAGTCGTTAATTATGGAGTTTATGAGTTACTCGGTCTTCTTTTCTCTTTCCTCAACTGTTTTAACTGTTTCATGGTGTTTTCATGTTCTAGACTGTTCAGTCCTTTGAATAGACGAGTAATAAGAAAAGGTCAAATTCAAATCACTGAATCCAGTTACTTACATGGTGTCTTCTGTGTGCAAGGTGCTGTGAAAAATGAGATTTCAAAGATAAACCCCTGTCTATCCTGAAAGAACTTGAGTCTGAAATGGTATTATGAGGCTTAAATACTTGAAAAGTTAACTAACCTCAAATTACTAAAATAACTATGAATAAGTCTTTGGTCTAGTGTACTTGTCCTCATTCCTGCTATTAGGGGTGGGCAGGAGAATTTATGCGCAAGGAGAGAATTGCCATTAGGATTACAAGCAAAAATCTGAGCAATATAATTATGCTAGTAATAAGAATAGGATTCTGCCCTAGATGGGTAAACGGTGCTTGGCTCCATGACCTTCCCCTTTGGGGTGAAATAACAGTCATATCCACAAAATGGCTCTGAGACCGGGATTCTAGTCCCAGCTTTTCACAGACAAGTCCGTCACTCCTCTAGTCCAGTGGTTATTCATGCCTAAAATGAGGAGATAGTGGTGAATCACATGTTCTCCAGTTGTGTTTTCTAGAATCCTTGAGAGTTGAGGGGGAAAGGGTGGCAGTGGTGCCCTACCCCGGCTGCCACCAGAACACACCGCTTTTATCCGTTTTCTGGTTGGGTATCCAGTCGTGGCTAAGAGCACAGGCCGTGGAGCTGGAACATTGAGATATGTATCCCAGCTCTTCCACTTCCTAGCTGTGTGTCTTTGGGCAAGTAACTTAATCTTTCTGTGCCCCAGTTTCCTCACCTACAAATGGGGGTGATAATGGTACCCTCTCATAGGATCATTGGTTTATAGAATGCTTAACTCAGTGCCGAGCATGTGATAAGCACTCAGTAAATGCTAGCTGCTGTTCTTATTTTATTTGAAAAAGAAAGTGTTCTCTACATTAAAAAAATAAAAACAGTAACAAAAAAAGCAGTTTAAGTATCACTAGTCTAGATATTTCAAAGGTCTCTTAAGTTCCATGTTATGATATTATGAAGTCATTTCAGTGAGATGCTTAAAATCCTTAGTAATGCTGAATAAGGATTATGGATAATGAGGTAAAGTTTAATGGAGCTTTCCATTTCTGAGGTTTTCTTTGTGTCCTCAACTGTAGTGTTTGGGACCTAGACAACTTCCATTTTTAATCAGTTTTGCTATGTAAACCAACCTGATGACTTTATCTTATTTTACAGAACCTTAAGAAAATCTCTTATTTTACAGAGGTTTAGTGAATAAATCTATGGTATTAATAAAATACCATACCACTTGTTTTGCAGCTTGATATAGTAAAGTGTAATTGAAAACAAATTGTATATATTAGAAGGAAAAACTATTCCTGAAAGTCCAATTAAATTCTTTCTATTTACACTTTAATGCTAACTGGAGAGATTAATCATACTGCCCCTTCTGAAACTGAGGTCTCGACGGTGTCAAAATGCATGTTGTGGTGAAAGAGCACTGCACTGGCATCAGGAGACATTGTTCTCTTCCGCCACTAACAAGCAGTGGGACCTTTGCCAAGTCGCAGACTCTTTGGGCTTCAGTTCCTTCTCTTGTAGCACATGGGAGTTGAGCTAGATTACCTCTTATGAGCATCTTACAGTTGTGACATTGTTTCGATGATATATGGATTTCTTGTATTTAAAAAAACTATATACCTAAATGAAAAAATGCAGAGAGCAACCGAGTCTGCCAGATGCTTTCCCTTGTTTCTGATTTAATCCTCATAACTATCCTGTGTTATAGGTGGTATCATCCCTACTCTGCAGATAATGGTAGCGACCATTTTTTGAACATGTGTGCCAGGCACTGTGCTAAGCTCTTTACAGACACTATCTCACTCAGTCCTCCCAACAACCCTATGAGGTGGGTACTGTGATCCCCGTTGTTCAGATGAGGAAACAGAGGCTCAGACAGGATCAGAAACAGCTAGTACATGGCAGAGGTGGATTTCAGAGCTAAGCATGTCCCACTCCAGAGTCGGTTCTCTTAGCCACTGTGCTGTACTGCCAATCTGAGAATGAAGAAGCTAAGTCACAGAGCAGTTAAGATCTGCAAAGTGGCAGAATCAATATTTGGACCGATTTTTTTCCTTTTCTAAGTTCTGTGTACTTTCCACCGTGTTATGTCACAGTATGTCCCAACTTGTCAGGAGTCTGTGAATGTAAAACTTGTATTGATTTCTGATATTTATTGATTTGATTTTAAAGTCGGTTGCCACTGGCAGACTCAATGAGCTTCTGTAGCTTCTCAGAGCAAATAAGAGGAGTGGTGTTCCTTTGGCTGTACACCTCTAGCTGCCACCCTCTTCTGTGTGCCTGACTGTGTAAAGTCCTCCAGCTGCTCCTGCAGGAGAGAGCTCAGTGCTGAGAGTAGCAGCAATCAGGGCGTGGTTCCCTCCACCTGCCATTAAGACTTCACGATTAGCGGTGCTGCCTGGTTTCATAAAACTGCCTGTCTCTTCCTCTGATAATGAGTAGATTTTAACTTACTCTAACCCATCAAATTCAGTGAAAGAATTCTATTTTCCCACAAGCAAAACAGAACCTAGAATGTGATTTATCTAGATGGATTGTCAAATTCGCATCTTTGCTAAAGTTTTTCAGATTTTTTTAATTTGATGCTTGAATAATCTCTGATTTTTCAGACTGTGCTGACATCTGAAATAACCTGTATGTTTTTTCTTTGCTGTTCATAGGTATCTCTAATATTTGATTTCAAAAACCAGCCTTCAGTACCCGTTGGGCAGCTCTGGGTGGAACTGCTTCGATTCTACGCTTTAGAGTTCAATTTGGCTGATTTAGTGATAAGTATCCGTGTCAAAGAAGCAGTGTCTCGTGAATCAAAGGATTGGCCCAAAAAGCGCATTGCCATTGAAGGTATCTCAGAATGTTTAATTCCTTTTTTTGTTTTGTTTTGTTTTTTTTTAAGGTATCAGTCTAACAGCATGCTTTATATTTCGATCTTTTTTCAGCTCCTACATGTAAGGTAGGCCGGACCTTAAAAGTGAAATAAATAGCTAGAATCTTGCATGTGTTAACAGTGGGTCATTCCAGGGGATCAAAATGATCATCCTGGGTTTTTTAAGTGCTGCAGTAAGACATCTTAATTACTCAAGCAACTAAAATAGTGACTGGCTTGAGTCCTTATTTTCTTTGTAAATTGCTTTACAACTTGAATGCTTGAAAAGTTTTTTCCAAGTGATGTGTAAATATGCCTTTCCTCTTTACTGTTCTCATATCTGGATTTTTGATTCAGTCCTTTCATGGATTGGTGTTGATGTTTAGTTTTACAAAGGTTGAGGAAAATACTTTTTCTCATGAAAAATAGCATTCTTCGTTGGATTCTTCTCCATAGAGCAGAAGGATAGTTATTTTTGGGATATCTGTAGTAACCTTTAGAACTTGTTCACAAAAACACCTTTTCTTTAAAAAAAAAAAACACTTAGTGTTCAATGAGTTAAGTCTCATTTAACTGAAACCATTGTATAAAAGACATACTGATGTGCCCTGTAGACGTCATTAAATGGACTAGTTCTTCTCAGCTTTACAAAATCAGGAGGTGGAAACCCCTCTAGAAATCTTAATTCTCCTCCTTCAAATAATTTAAAGAACCTCCTAAATGGAATTCTCTTATATTTGCTTGATTTTTTTTTCAAGCTTTATATTGCATAAGAGAGATTTTTGCATTTTGCATAAATTCTGTGTGCAGTCATGGGGATCTCACATTTTTAAACCCTCCCCTGCAGTTTCTCTGGCTCAGCTCTTCTGGCCAATTGCCTAACCTGCTGGAGTTCTAGGGGAGGAGAAAAGATTGAGAGAAGTGGTGTCTCCTCCTGGTGCCTCCCTCTCGCCCCTGAATTCAGTCCAGCCAGTTCAGTGATGGGGCTTCCCAGGGCAGAAGAGTGGAGGTAAGCTCTACAAACCACAGGGCCTGGCTGAGTGGGGAGGCCGAGCACTCAGCAGAGCCTGGCGGGAAGATCTCACTTCCCGAGGGCATGACAGCCACACTGATGACATCTTTTTTTTACCTTCCACAGTCACAGAACAGAATAGGGAAGGGGTACTGGTTCTGAACAGGATGGGTTCTTTCTGTAGAGCAGATGGTTAAGAAAACATTTCTTTTTGTTTTTAAACTATCTTCTTACTCCCCATCCCCAGTTTTTAAAAAAGCATATAAGATACATGGTAAATTAAGTTTTACTGTTGCTTATTTGTTGTCTGTGTCTGTAGCAGGCTGATTTTTAAACCATGAAATAGAAGTGTATGAAATGGTGGATCTTTTTTTTTTTAATTACAGATCCCTACTCTGTTAAGAGGAATGTGGCAAGAACCCTAAATAATCAACCTGTATTTGAATATATACTTCATTGTTTAAGGACAACGTATAAATATTTTGCTCTTCCACACAAAGTTACAAAGTCTAGCCTTCCAAAGCCTCTGAGTGCTGTTACCTGTACTTCCGAGCATTCTAAACAAGTAGCAAAACGTGATCCAGGTGTACAAGTGAAAGGTGATAAACTCAAAAACTCAGTTTTGGCTCAAGGTCTTGGTGCTGCCAGTTCAACTGCAAACACCTGCAAGGCACGGCCACTTACTCTCAAAGAGACAGCTGAATGCTTTGAAAGCCCATCAAGAGAGGAAATGGGAAACACACGCATCTGTGTCCACCTGGAAAACTCAGACGGTATGAAGGCCGAGGTCAGTTGTGATGACTCTGAGGATGTTAAAGTGCAACATCAAGAAACAGGAAGTAAAAATGAGGACAAAAAAAGTGGGAGGGAGGGCATGCATCCTTTGACAGCTGATGATCAAGCTGTAAGTAGTAGCAAATGTGGGGAGCTTGCCACCTGTGGCAGCACACGAACTAATGAGACAGGCAGCACTTTGGGTTTGGAAGACTTCAGAAATCCTACAGCCAAAGAGTGCAATGACAAGGCTGGTGCCGAAGCAAGCATGGAAGCTACTGATGAACTCGGAGACACTCTAAGCCACTTTACCCCTTCGAGACAGGGCCGGATGTCAGGAATCATTCACTCTGATGAAGAAGAGGAAGAAGAAGAGGAGGAGGATGAGGAACCCGGGCTCTGCATTTCCCGAAGGGAAGAAGAGGATGGCATTGCTAATGAAGATGAATTGGACAACACCTACCCCGGATCAGGGGATGAGGATGCCCTGTCAGGAGAGGATGAGGAATTAGGTGGGTCTGCTAAGTCTGAAGACTTGAAAGAATGTGGAAAACATGCGGATGAAGCTCTACTCACGGAACTTAATAAAGTCAGTCTTAAAGAAGGAAATGTATGTGAGGAAAATTCAGCTGTGGATCTGCCTGATTTCTTCTATGAATTTAGTAAACTCACCTTCACCAAAGGCAAGGTAATCACGCTGCTCCTAGACGTGGTGCTAGGAGACTTGAAGCGGTTTTAATGCATGTCATTTTGATTTTGGCGTACTGAAGCGGGGCTCTCCTGGTTTGGTAGTGGTGAACAAGTTGGTCATTCGCTCCAGTTCAGCTGCTAGGTCCGCTTCCCTTCTTAGCCTCTTAGGAATCTGCATAGGAGAAAAGGAATGCTGTTGGTAGTAATAATAACAGCCTTTTCTCTGAAGTAGACCAAAAGGGTCAAAAGGGTATCCTTATCTGAGAGAGTTTGGAGTAGCCACACATTATATTTTCATTCCTTGGGAATGTGATGAGTAGAATGTGTACTTTTGAAAAAAGATTCAAGACCCCTTCATTTGGCGAATAAAGTTTTACCTTAAGTCTTGTTCTGCTTTGCCGCCTTTCTGCAGTCTCCTACAGTAGTATGCAGTTTATGCAAACGAGAGGGTCATCTAAAGAAGGACTGTCCCGAAGACTTCAAAAGAATCCAGCTGGAACCTCTGCCACCGTTAACACCCAAATTTTCAAATATCTTAGATCAAGTTTGCATTCAGTGTTATAGTAAGTTATTAACATTTCTTTTGATTTGTCAAAATATAACATTGACATTTTCTTAAGAGTCATCTGAATGACTAACCAGTTAGCTTCGTTGTAGGGGCTAAGTCTGTTCCATTCTCCGTTGTATCCACAGTGCCCAGTGTTTCCTGTTCTATTTGGGATGTGCAATAAATAATTGTTAAAGACAGGGAGAGGGAGAATCCTTTAAGTCTGAAGACTGGAGTACTATCACTTCCCAACTGGTTTTCCTTGAAATGTATTTTTAGATTCCATTAATAGTATTTCTCAACAAGAAGTATTCCACAGGTCAAGTGGGGAATAGCTCTACTTCCTGCCCCCTCCCTTAGAGATTCACAGGGGCCATTAGCATAATAAAGGCTCTGAGAAATGTTACAGTAAAGAGCTTATTTACTCTTTAACTTTTTCAAAGTTTGAGCATAGAATACTCTTTAATTAATGCTAGTCAATAACCTTCAGAACAGCCCTGTAAGGAACACCAGTCTTGGGAAGTGTTGATGCACAGAGGTTTAAAGTTCTGCAAGGAACAGCATTTGATGGGGAGGCATGCAGGACGTGCTGCATCACATTGCTTCATCTTGGCATGTCTGCCTGTGCCAGAGGACACTCGTCCTTAGTCAGGGACTTCTTTTTTAAACCTCTGAAGATTATGAGCTATGAAAGGAAACTATTGGTCCACCCTAGAAAGAAAACATATATGCACATGCTTATTAACCATTGTGTCCATCCTCTGGGGCAGTCCCCTGAAGGCTGCCTTCATAGGGCCCTGGGTCTGAAACCCAGGAGCGGAGCCCTTTCTCAGATTAGTTTCCACCTCAGGAGCAGTTCTTGCTGATAAACTCTTTCAAAAAGGCATCTTTATTTTACATCGCTTAATGCCGTCTACTGAGAAGACACACAAAATTTAGGGTTTTCTTTGGGTTTTTTTTTGTTGTTGTTGTTGTTTTTTTTTACTGTGTTAGGTTTTATTGTATTAAAAAATATACTTTTTCAGAGAACGTGAACAATCTTTGTTTCTGAATGTTTCTGTTTATTTTAAACAGAGGATTTTTCTCCAACCATTTTAGAAGATCAGGCTCGTGAACATATTCGGCAAAACCTAGAAAGTTTCATAAGGCAAGAGTTTCCAGGTAAATAATTTTTTAAATCTTAAAAAAAAAAGAAAAGGTAGTGTGACTTTCCTTCAGAATGAGTACATGTGTTACGGGCATATTGATTTTAAGGCTAAGCAAGCAGCCTGGCAGTGATGGTGGGGACAGGGCTTCAGTTATTTTGTAATAGTCCTAGGGTGGTCTTTTGTCAGCCCAGTCCTAGTTTGCCAACAAAGATGGTGTTGCGTTGTAGTATTTCTCTTAGCAGATGCCACACGTGAACTTCATATAGTGTAATGTTTCGAGTCAAAGTTCACGCCTCTAAAAAGTGAATTTATTTAGAAAGTAGCAAGCTCACATGATTAAATTTGGTGAGTGATCCACGTTTTCCTTAAAACGTCCTTGCATTTTAGAATAAAGTGGCACTTAATAATTCTTCATGTCTCCTGCAGCTTGTACTTACTTAAAGTAAATTTTGGAAGGAAATAATTTATAATAAATGGTTAATAAGAGAACATAATCATAATGAGATTATTATAGGACAGTTAACAACTGAGTTGTTTTGGTTTTTTTTTTTCCCCCTCTCAACGGAGGCACTGGGGATTGAACCCAGGACCTCGTGCACGCCAAGCGCATGCTCTGTCACTGAGCTATACCCCCAGCCCCCAATAACTGGGTAGTTTTGATTCATGAGAGGGTCATTTTGATCAGAAAATGAAATATACTCAGGTAATTAGTTATTACTTTTCATATATCCCTAACAGGAACTAAATTGAGCTTGTTTGGCTCCTCCAAAAATGGATTTGGGTTCAAACAGAGTGACCTTGACGTCTGTATGACAATTAATGGACTTGAAACTGCTGAGGTACAGTGACCACATGAAACTTACATTTGCTGTGGCAGTGTGATTTGGCAATCTTGACTGACAGTACAGCGTGGTATATTCCAAATTTATCAGGGCATAGCATGTGAGCGTGCCATTTGGCACAGTCTGTCTGGCCAGATACATCAGAAGTCTAGAGCGGAGTGTGAGGAGTAGAAAGGCTTGTGCTTGCAACCTGAGTGCGCGGTGGATCTGAAGGCGACATCCAGGAGTGCAGGAGGTCAAAGCAGCCTCTCCAGTATCCCACTGACATGGCCACCAGGCTGACTCGGGTGCACGAACACACCCACGTAAGATTTTCTAAAAAGCGTTTTTAACAGGCAGGGAATGTGGTTCAGTGATAAGGGTGCTAAACCTTAGAGTCCAGAGACCTGGGTTCAAGACAGACTTTGGGTTTCATCAGTCCCTAAACGTGTGGTCTTTGGTTGATAATCTCTAATATGGAGATGAGATCCTCTTGCCTCAGGAGATTGCTGTGCACCTCAGCCTGGATCACGTATGTCAGGGTTCATGGAACTAGGGCCCACTGCCTGTCTTGTGCATATCAGTCTTACTGGCACATAGCCATACCCCTTCACTTCTGTATTGTCTGCATCTGCTTTCACTCTGTGACTTCAGGGTCGAGTCCTAGAAACAGGCCATGTGGCCCGCAAAGCAGAAAAGGTTTGCTGGCCCTGATGGATATGAAGGCATTTATTAAATATAAAATACTGTGAAAAGGTATAAAGTCTGAGAAGTACTGAGTCCGTCCCCCCTTTTTTTTATTTATAGTAACAATGGAAATGGTATATATCCAAATGAGCGATGCTGCTGCTGCTCAGGATCTTTTTATGCCTTTTCTGAGTTAAGTCTTTGTCCCTTGAGGATGTATCTGATTTGGGAAAACAGCCAGAAGTTATCTAGCATGACTTTGGTGAATGAGGTGGATAAGCAAGATTGGGTCCAACAAGTGGAATGACCTGATTGTGTATCAGCTAGGTTGAATTTTTACGTGAGTAATAAACTAGTTTTGAAAGCATTTCTAAAATAAAATTCTAAATATATTCTGGGATGTGTGTAACCGTCCAAAGGGCTTAATGTTGAAGAAGATCAGCAGAAATGTTTTTAAATATTTGAAATATTATTCTTATTTGTTATATGACTTTCTTTTGGGAAATTGTATTTTTGACTAGTCCTATGGAGAAATAATCTGAGCTTAATCACTCTCCACAGCAGTTCATCAGCTTTTAATTAAACTATAACGAAGGCCTACCCAGAATGAATCAGACAGGCCACAAAAGCTCCCTCTTACTGATTCTGTCTGTCACATAGAGTACTTCTGAGTGACATAGTTACATAGAGGGAACAAATGGAGGTCCTCATTGGTTCAAAGATTTTTCTGGGGACCCTGATTTCAGCCTTTCTTGTGCCTCCAGGAGCAATTAGTAAGTAGGGTGTATGGGGTTTCCATATTCTTAGGATATTATTCTTAGGAAAAAATGAATACAGAACAAATTCAAGTTAATTTCATTATTTCTGGAGGAAATGGAAACTATAACCATTTTAGGAACCTGTCTTCCGTTTTTGATTCAGTAGTTTGTATCATTTTTGTTGCAGGGGTTGGACTGCGTAAGAACTATTGAAGAATTGGCAAGAGTCCTCAAAAAACATTCAGGTACCTCTATAAACTTTTTCTGAAAAATATTTTTGTCTTTTTTGTTAGTGTTTTGCATGCTTAGAATTTACTGATGCCAGTGAAACCGTGTAGTGGCTCATACAGCATATTTATGGTATTGGTAGCTTCAAAAGATCTTGTGTGATTATGTATGAAAAACTGAAGAATTGCTTATAATTTGTGTGCATGCTGTTGCCTCAGGCAATTTTATTTCAAGACAAAGCATATACCATACTCGCAAAAAATTTTGGGAATCATTTTGACTTATCAACATTGTATAAATCAAAGTGTAGGTGTTTGTTAGCAGTGATGTGAAATACAGTGAAAGTGTAGTGATAGGTTGTGCTTGCAGCTGTTCAACAAGCTGTATGTGACCTGAACAAGTACTTACAGCTGTAAAATGTGTAGATTCTATAAATCGTGCACAGAGCTGAAGTGCCATTAACATATCCTTCTGCCTCTCTCTGTCATAGGCAGCTATGGATGCTATAAACAAGTGAGAATCTTCTTTTAAAATGTGGTTCAACAAACTTCTGTGCTAAGAGTTGAGAATCAAAGTGAACATGATATGGTCCTTGCCTTTATGGAACTTAAAATCCATGGACCATCCATGAAAAGCTTTCTTATATCTCAGTAGAGAGTAGACTTAAATTCACAGCATGGGCATGCACACATATACCACATAAGTATACACCTTGAGTGCCCCTTTTCTTTGAACTTTTTATTTCTAGGAGTTTAAAAAGGATACCATGTTTTTTAAACATTGGGGGATAAAAGTCTTAAGTTTGGTTTATTCCCACTGAAAATCAACCCAGTTCATCAGTATTTTTTTTTTAATGTGCATCAATATAATTTTTTGGTCATTGAAATAAACGTTTTAGGAATTTCACCTCTAAAGATTGTTTGCTTTTTTTTGATTTTTGAAGATTAGGCAAAGAAACTAAATTGGCTAAATTTTTGTGACCTATTATTTAGTACTGAGCTAGATTTTGACTTTTGTTTTGTTTTAGTTTTGTTCTTTTAATGGAGGTACTGGAGATTGAAACCAGGACCTCGTGCATGCTAAGCATGCGCTCTACCACTGAGCTACTCCCACCCTCCTGATATTAACTTTTGATTTTGAAATCATTTCAGACTTAAAGGAAAGCAGCAAAATTGTATAAAGAACTCTGCTATCCCTCATTCAGATCCATCAATTGTTAACATTTTTACTACTACATTTGATTTATCATTCTATTTCTTGCTTACTCACAATTTTTTCTGTACCATTGAGATTAAGTTGCAAACATCACATCCCTTTCCCTAAATACCTCAGTGGGTATTTCCTAAGAATGAACCATACTAAAAACAGATCATTTTTGGACTAGAAATGACTTACACATACAGATTATAACGTATAAGTGATGCAGTGTGCATGGAACAAAAATTTAATAATAGCTAGAGGGCTGTGATTAAGAAAGCACCTTCCCATGTATTTTATTGGGTGTCTGCTATGTGCTCGGCATTGGTGTTGGGCACTTAGAGATGGTAGAAAAAGAAGTCTAGACAGGTCCTTCCTTTGACAGCTTTCAGATCTTAAAAAAAAGTAAAGTAACCTCACAGGCTATGTAACAATGTATCGTAGTATTTATTAAAGTGAATCATAGACACTACAGTAAGTATTAAATAACTTCTGAGGAGGGAGAGATTCTGTGAATGCGTAGGGGAGGTTCACTGAAGAGCTGGGCTTGTTCTGATCTCAGGTGATGATGAACATGATTTGAAAGGGATCAGAAGAGAAGTCATTCCTGAGATGGAGGGATGTGCGTGTGAGAATCACTGTAATATATTTTGGAGGACGATGAGAAGATTGGTACATTAAGAGAGGAGTTTCAAGTGGGAACTATTAGGAGATAAGGCAAAGTCTGTTGATATTTGGAAGCCACCAAACATTCTTCAGGAGGAGAGAAACCCAATAAAAGCAAAACTTAAGCTTTGTAAGCAGCTGGTACAGTCTCTTAGGGAAGGCATAATCTAAGTGACAGGGCAGAAAGACCTTTACCAGGTGCCAGTAGTCCTAAAAGGAAAAGGATAGGAGAGATTCCAAAGAGAAATTCCCTAGATACCTGCAAGTAAGAAATAAGGGTTCAGGCTGCTGTCTGGGTTCATGAGAAAGGGAAATGTTAGCAGAGAGCACCAACTGGAGGTGATAGTTTGCCAAGAAGGTATAACTCCCAAGAGTTAACAGTCTAGGAGGCAGAAACACAGAGTTGTCAGGATTGAAGAACAAAATAAAACAGTTTTTTATTGAAAGAAAGAAAGAGAGACAGAGACCAAGAATTCCAGGGGATCATTTGAGAGAGGTTGAAAGCCAAACTTCAATTTCTGAGAGTAGACATTAAGGAAGGATACTTAAAAAGGAACTGTTGGAGTGGTAAATTAGGAAGCAGGATGATATGCTGTGATGAAGTCCTAGAGGACAGGCATATATAAGTGTCATAATGGTTAGCAGTGTCAGATTCTAGAATGGGATGGAGATGGAAAGAAAGGATATGTTTTAGGGACAGTAAAGCAAAATAATTGGTGAGGCTTCTAGAATCAGACTCTGGTTCTAGATCTTTGATCTCCATTTGCTGGCTGTGTGATTCCCAAAAAGTCACTCAACCTTATTGTAAGCACTCAGTTTCTCATCTGTAAAGTGGAGCAACAATAGTAGCATTTAAGATTAAGAAAGGTAGTACATTAAACTATGCGGCCTGACATAATGCTGGGTATTATTCAGTAAATATGGGCTTCCTTGCTCCTCCTCCCCATCAGTATAAGTTACACTTTCTCCATCTCCCACGCAGAACTTTTGCTGAAATTTCTTTCATTGATGTACTTTTCCCCTAAATTCCAGATCACTAGGTATCTACCTTCCAGATATTACCACTTAACTCTCTCAGAAGAACTCAAACCCTAGCATCGCAAAATGAACTCACCTTTCTCTTTACCACCTCGCTTCTGCTGCAGCCACCCCTACCTGCTCTTCCTCCTGAATCCTCATTCTTGGTTGTTGACATAAGCATCCATAGAATCACCAGAATGAATGAGGTGATAATTAATCAGTCCTGGAGTAGGTTCAGTAGAAGGTTAGAGTCAGCCTTACCTAGACTTGAATACCAGCTCCACAATTCATCACCTGTGTATTCCTGAGCAAGTTCATTTCGCAAGGTCTCTGTTTCCTCATCTGTTGGGTGAGGGTGAATGTCTTAGGAGGTGATGTTTGTAAAGGAATCTAGGTACTCAGGAAATGGTCTTGCCGTTACAGCCCTCCTTCTGCCTTATCACCCCCACTTCTGCTTCCCCAACCCACCAGTTACAGATGCCCTCAGACATCTGCTTCTTGCTGCCTCTCTGCATTCCCATGCCACCATGGTAGCCCAGCTCAGGTCGGTTTTACAGTGGTCGCCCTGTCTCTCTTCCGGGTGCCTCCAGTCTGTCCGTTGCCAGGGGCATTGTCTAAATAGATGTGACCAGTGATTCCCCCCAACTTGGATCAGTTCATTGGCATTTCTTTGCCTCTAAGGATATATGTGTTCTCTCTTTGGGCTCTTCCCAGTTTTTACCACATCTCCTATTACTCGGTATTTCCTTCCTTCGAGTCCACTCTGTATGTAGCCTGCACAATTCCATGGGCGCTACCTGAACCTGCCGCTCTATTTGAGGCATCTACTCTTTCCACGTGCAGCTTTCCTTGCCTGGTAAATCCCCTCAACCTTCCCTTTTTCTGCCTGTTCTTTTTCAAAGCTTAGGTCAGGAAGGAGGAGGAGAGACTTTCCTTCTCTCCTATTACTGTCATAGCTTCTAGGTCCATGAGGAGTAGCTTCTGTTTTGAGGATTCAGGTGACTACCCCTGTAGGCTTTCCTCCAGGTTAGGTATGTAGCCGTATGGAGAGAATAGGTAGGGCCCATGTAATCTAGACTCTGGTAGTTTCCTCTGTTTCGGTGGTTGGTAGACTGACAGCCGTACCCACATGCACATGACCTGGTGAGTTCCCGAAGGGCAGCGGCTGCCTTATTGATTCCTGTATTCAGATATTGATGTGTTCAACAGATGCAAACTTTGCCAGAAGAGTCTTCCCAGGTGTTTGTTAGTAACAGAGAATTCTTTGACTAGTCTTAGCGATTCAGTGAAACAAGCCAAAGCCAGCTTTACATCATTTTATGTTGTAATGTTACATAAGAGCACCTTATACCCGCTGCTGCTGTATTTAACGATACTGTCCTATTTTCCAACCTAGGGCTGAGAAACATCTTGCCTATTACAACAGCAAAGGTGCCAATTGTAAAGTTCTTCCATTTGAGAAGCGGTCTGGAAGTGGACATCAGTTTGTATAACACATTGGTAAGATTTTCTCTAGACTTTTTCTTTGGGGAGACTGAAAGGAACAAGTATGTCTTATACAATCTTTAAGTAAAATTAAGCCATTCATTTCATCCTATTCATTCTTTCAGTAGTTATTTATGAGTGCGTGCTTAGTGCCTGGCAGTGTTCTGAGGCTGGGGTTATAACAGAATTGAGTTAATATTAGTATTCACTTAAAAATATATGTATTAGTATTCATTTAGAATGAGGTCCGAGTGGCAGGTGCTTTTTGTTTGGCTTGAACTTTGCCTTAATTTTGGAGTGTGTGTATGTGTGCGTCTTTGGTCTCATGCCTGGTTTGCTTGAGGGCTTTATGGGACCTCTCTGGCCCCTGAGGACATTTAATTTGAATAGTGGTGGGGTTAGGATTACATCAACTTAAAGGAAACTGATTGTTTTAATAGCACTTATTCTCTGGGAATGTTTAGAATAAAGAGTCCTTAGGTCAGATATCACTTATCAATCCATTTTTTTTAACCTTTTACTTTTTACTTTTTTTTAAATTGAAGTATAGTTCAGTTACAAGGTGTCAGTTATCACTTACAATTCTTAATTATTAACTAATAAGCTAATGAAGCTTACCTTTAGGGGAAAAATATTAATTTCAGCCTAAATGTCTTCATCCTAAAATGAATTACAGTGTAAACCTTTTCAGACTATTCCAGCTTAAAACTTTTCCTTCTAATTGGTAGTGTAATTTTCCTTTTAACAGGCCCTTCATAACACAAGGCTCTTATCTGCCTATTCAGCCATTGATCCCAGAGTGAAATATTTGTGCTATACCATGAAAGTATTTACAAAGGTGAGTATGCTTCCTGTTGTGATTTATCAGGAAATGTCATTACATCTTCAAACCTAGCTGAAAACATAAGTCTGTAAAAGAAGCAGACTCACCAATACAGAGAATAAACCATGATGGTTACTGGTGGGAAGAGGGAAGGATGGAGGGGCGGGACAGGGGTATGGGATTAAGAGACACAAACTACTGTGTATAAAGTAAATAAGCAACAAGGATGTATTGTACAGCACATGAAAATGTAGCCATTATTTTGTAATAACATTAGATGGAGTATAATCTTTAAAAATACTGAATCACTATGTCATACACCGGAAATGAATATAATATTCTAAATCAACTACACTTCAGTTTAAAAAAAGAAAACATAAGTCTGTATTTTTAAAGATCCGTAGCCATGTCAAACACTTCTTTTAACTATTTGAAAAGTCCTACTCAACAAGCTAAAATTTTGTTGTCTTAAATTTTTACATTGTAACCTAATATTACTTGTAGCTAACAACTCCTTAGCTTTGTCGAGGTTTGTTTGGTTTGGTTTGGTTTTGATGGGGTTTTGTTTTTGGTTTGGTTTGGGTTTTTCTTGGTTTTGTTGGCATATTTTAGCATTTCAAAATGTCCGTTGTGTGTTAGTGCCCTATATAGCACCTTACTTCTAGTGATAATAGAACAGTGCGAAGGTAGCAGAACACATTGGTCATCTTTCCTTTGCTCCTGTTTTCCTTCCCTCCAGATGTGCGACATTGGTGATGCATCTAGAGGCAGCTTATCATCATACGCATACACGCTTATGGTGCTATATTTTCTCCAGCAGAGGAATCCGCCAGTCATCCCTGTCCTTCAAGAGGTATCAGTAAAAGAAGTCGTATTTTTTACATGTAGAGCTGGGCGATCTTTGTGCCCTCTTCCTTCTCTAAAATTCTGTGGTTCTGTAGTTAAATTTTTAACTATTTTCCTACAAGTTTTTGTGTCAATGCATTAAGTTTGTAATCCATACTAATAGTTTAAAAATTAATTTCAGATATACAAAGGTGAAAAGAAACCTGAAATATTTGTTGATGGCTGGAATATTTATTTTTTTGATCAAATAGATGAACTGGTACGTATTTTAATAGTAAAGATTTTTTACATCCTTGACTGAGAGTTAGCTATACCATGCTGTAGTGTAGATGGGCAAGAACTGTATTATCACTTGTTATATTTATTTATATTATGATAGTTAAAAAACTAGTATATACAGATGATTCCTTTGAAGTTGAAAACATTTTTTTTTAAGCCAGGTGAGTTTTTAGGGACTATATCCAGGAATTCTTAAATGCCTAATAATTCCAAATGGTTAGGTAACTTTATTCCAAATGAACAAATATTTGCTCTATGGTTTCCTACAGAAAGTTTGGAAAGACTTTGAATTACAGAGACCTAATAACCAGATGTCACCAACACTCTTAAAATTTAATTCCCAATTCTTTCACAAACATGCATTTTGAGGTTTGACATTTAAAACCCTGAGCTCTTTCCAACTCTAAGTCATAGGGTAGAGATTAATAAACTCATGTAAATGATATTTTAAAATATATAGGAAAGTTATATAGTTGTAATCTTATGTATTTAAACTCTAGTTAATTTAAATAAATCCAAACTTACTCCCTAAGATACAAATGAATATTGATATTAACATTTTATTATAGAGCATGATATCTCTTGTTCCTTCTGTTTCTAGCCCACCTATTGGCCAGAATATGGAAAAAATACAGAATCTGTTGGGCAGCTCTGGTTGGGACTTCTTCGTTTCTACACAGAGGAATTTGATTTTAAAGAACATGTCATTAGTATCAGGAGAAAAAGTCTGCTTACAACTTTTAAGAAACAGTGGACCTCAAAATACATTGTTATTGAAGGTACAAATAAAATCAAACTTAAAATTGAATAGAATATAGAGGTTGAACTATGACGGTTGCTCTTTGTCCTTGCAGAGATCTTCCGGAGCAGCCGCGGGCCACTGATCAGATGTGCCTCACAGCTGGCCTGTTAGCTGTCCACATCAGGCAGACTTGTCTGTGTCCAGCCTAAAGATTTATTTTTAAATGACTCCTGTGGGGCCTCTCACAAATCCCAGAGCCTTTGTTCACCATGATAAATCCTTTACCTTTGTTTAACACATACTGGAGAATAAGGTTGCAGTTGAGATAAGTCAGCCTCAAAATAGTGGGACTTTTAAAACCTTCCTAAGTGAGGGTTTGAAGAGTGCCTCTAAGAGTCAGTGTTCAAGATCCTTATTTGCTATCTACTGATGGAGGAGTTTACCTATAAGTGGTTATATATAAAATTTGACATTTATTTTGCCCATGTTTAAGCTGCTGCTTTCCTTGAACGCCAGAATCCATGGATTTATATGTGCACTTAAATATTTACATACACATACACTTTTTTTTTTTAAGATAATTGAGCTCATTATTTGGAAACTTGCTTTTTACCCTGAATGGTTTTACTTTGATATACCCTTTTGTGTCTTTTTATATTCACCAAATTATTTTCAATGATTGCTCAGTATTGATTTTTTTTTAATTGAGGTATGGTTGATTTACGGTATTCTATTAATTTTCCATGTACAACATAGTGATTCAAAATCTGTATAGGTTATACTCCATTTAAAGTTATTATAAAATATTGGCTATATTCCCTGTGCTGCACAAATATATCCTTGTTGCTTATTTATTTTATGTATAATAGTTTGTGTCTCTTAACCCCATACCCCTGTCTTGCCCCTCTCCCCACTGGTAACCACTAGTTTGTTCTCTCTATCTCTGAGTCTGTTCCTGTTTTGTTATAGTCATTCATTTGTTTTATTTTTTAGATTCCACATATAAGTGATCAGTTTGTGGGATTTTAATTTTAAAGACAAAATGGAGTTTAAGTGCTTAAAAATGAACTGACAAATGGCTTAAAATGTATTTTGTTGATTTTAATCTTTTTCAAAAATTTTGATATACTCGTATCACCTAAATAATGTGTTACTGTAGGTTGTGCTTTTATCTTACTCCTGCCTATTGGCAGTGTTGAAATACTGTGAGCATTTGTAAAATTAAATGTAGATAACAGTGAGTTATAGATATGGTTTTAACTTTTTAGGATCACATATGTCAAAAACATAGAACTTATACTTTTCCATTATCACAATGAGTTCTTAATGGTCTGCCGTTTATTAATATTGTTTTTAATTTTTGAAGCCTCATCTTTTGCTTTTAATTTTTACATTATTTGTAGATGAGCTGTTAGTAACAGGCTAAATTAGAAGGGTGACTTTTGACTAGTTACTCTAGAACTGAGGAATTCCAATGGTGGTAGTGGTAGCGTGTGTAACTGTACTATAGCTCATATTGTAGTATCTCTGCTACACCAAGCAACCAACCAAAACCACTTCCACGTGCACACATAAAAATCACCAGAAGAAAGCATGGCCCAACCTGCTGGAATGGCGACTTTCTCATAGCAGTTGTTAGCATAGAGTTAAACTGAGTGAAGCGACCTATACTCCAGTAAATTGTTCGTGGGTCTAAATCTCAAATCATATACACCACAGTTACTGTACATTAGAAGCAGAACAGACAACTGGAAGGAGGCCTCTTCTTGCTGCTTTACTCCTTTTATATACTGTATACTGTATACATCCTCCATTTTCTTAATGAGATGATCCCCCCAAAAAAGGTTTTAAGGGTTTTTTCCTTTGCTTTCTTGAATATATTTTTAGACATTTATTGGAAATAATTGAATATCTACACATAAGGTTTAAATTGTGAATTTTTATGTATATATTTAAAATCAAATATAAATATTTTGATTTGGAAATAGTGCTTTACCTTCATTTATTTCATGAACCAGTTTATTCAGATCTCACATACTTCTTTGACATCAGCATTTTTTTTCATTATTCCTACCACTTTCTGGGTCATCTAACAAATAATGTTCTAGACGCATCATATATCAACCTGTCTAAGACATTTGAGATGCAAACATATAAGATCATACGGGAGTCCTTATATGAAGCTCTCACTGGAAATTGAGATCCAGGGGACCATTGGTATGTCGTTGGGACTGTTGTGTGTTTTCTGTGTATGCTTTCATTTACCTTATAAGTGTGTTTTATGATCTTCGTGATAAATTATTTTCTAAAATGATTTTTTTAAAGGCTGTTAATTAGCAGGAAAATTCATTGCTAAAATTTTTTAAGTATATTTGTGACCTCTGTATGCCTCTAAAACTAGCATGATTAGGTAATATCAGATTCATATGTCTTCTCCAGACAGTATTTTATTCAGAATAAAACACCTCATATTATGAAGGACTCTGTTAAGGACTCAAATATAAAGCTATACTCTCTTTTCTGATGAACATTTCTGGGAAAAAACTTACCTTACAATTAGGAATGTATATTCCTTATCTGTATTACAGATTTGAAACTCATTAAAAAGGCAGTCATTTAATACTTTTATTAGTGGTAAAATGTGTAACACTTTCTTGTTATATAGACCTCACGTAATTTCTGAGTAGTGGCATTTCCTATTTGATTATCTTTTTTTTGTTTTCATTAATTTTCTTTACTTAGATCCATTTGATTTGAATCATAATCTTGGAGCTGGATTATCAAGGAAAAGTAAGTTTCCTTGTTTATAAATATTAATGCCAACTCTTTTCCTTTTAATCCATCTAATTGAGCATTTACTCTTTTCTTCTTAGTGACAAATTTTATAATGAAGGCATTTATTAATGGTAGAAGAGTATTTGGTATTCCTGTCAAAGGATTTCCGAAGGACTACCCCTCAAAAATGGTAAGTGTCTGTTGGAAATACCAAAAAAATCAATTCTAAAACCCTTTTAAGCACCTAATTTGTACATATCACTTCAGTAATAACCTAAATACTCTGAAAGTTTGGTGAGTCTAGCCAAGATGAATGATTGCAATACAAAGTAATTCCTAAAAAACTTTTTAAACATCCCTATTTTGAAACCACATATGAGAACAGGGAGAGACAGCCAAAAGAGTTTGCGTGGGAAAATTTATCATTTTGTTGCTGCTTCTTTTCCTCACACATAGGTGGCACTGCTGTTCCACCAAGCATTTAATTCCATGCCAGACTCTGCAGACCTAGTTTGCACATATCTAAGAACACTGTCCACCCGCCTCATACAGCATCTAGATTTTCCAGTCTGCTTGCAGAATAATAAATCCCTCAATAGGACCAGGAGAGAGAAGGTGCTGCCTATGCTAAATCTGTCTTTTTTCAGATAACCTGATACTCAGCTTTTTATGAAACTGTACACATAAAAGAGCAAAACAAAATGGCATTATAAAAATTCATTTCCGTGAAAGAAAAGGGGAAGGAGTAAAGGACTAGAGGGTTTTATGTTAAGAATAAAGTGGGGTTTTCCTACGTTAATTTTCTTAGTAAAGACTTCTGAAGTGAACCTTAAGCGACTGGGTGTATGAGCTTGTTCAGCATTTGATCACATCTCTGCATCTAGTTTTCACTAGCTACTGCTGTGGCCGTCTCCTACACCATGCTTATGAACCTTGTTCACGGAAGTCACCTGAGGATTTTGTTAAAATGCGGATTCTGATTCAGGAGGTCTGGAGTAGGGCCAAGACTGCGTGTCCTGCAGGCTCCCGGCTGATGCCAGTTCTGCTGGTGCCCACCTTGATTTCAGTGGCAAAGGGGCTCGAGTCCAGACTGTTGTCTTTCCTGTCCTCTGCTATTGTCCTTCAGAAGCCACAACAGAGCAACAGCACAGAGCTGCTTTTTCTCTATAAAATCTGTGTAATGCAGATCATGTTTCTCAATTCATTAGGCTTTAGCCTTTTCATCTTATGAGAAAATGAAGCCTTTGTACCTGGGCTCAGCTTCCCCTAAGTCCTAGGAAGCTGACTCACAGGAGGAATGTGTAATGCTCTTGTTTGGAAGTGTGCTGGGGTGGGGGAGGGTATAGCTCAAAGTGGTAGAGCGCATGCTTAGTGTGCGTGAGGTCCTGGGTTCAATCCCCAGTACCTCCTTTAAAAAAAAAGTAAATAAATGAGTAAACTTAATTAGCTACCTTCCCATCTCAAAAAAAACTAAAGAAAAAGAAAAAAAAAAAAGAAGTGTGCCAGGGGAAGAGCTACCTTTATGGTTAAACATCGTTTTGCGTGACAAAAAGGAATAACCAAAATGAATTTAGGTAAACCTATTCTGAATTAGACCCACTCGCTGGCTTTAGATTTTTGGAATTAAACAGTTTAATAAAAGTTATTTGAGATAATCCTATGTCGATTATTTTAAATAATTATTGAGCAACATAAGATATAAGATCCCTGATTGATATTGGTTAGTTTTGGGTGTTTGGATCTCACATTAATAGTTCAGATTTCTATATATTTATGTTCTGCTAGGAGTACTTTTTTGATCCAGATGTGCTGACTGAAGGAGAGCTGGCCCCAAATGATAGATGTTGCCGAATTTGTGGGAAAATTGGACACTTCATGAAGGATTGTCCTTTGAGGAGAAAGTAAGTGAATGTTCAAAAGGGGTGGTTTTGTTTTTATTTTCTTACTGTATCAGTTTTTACATGAGGTGCTGTTGTAACAGAAAATAAACTTGTATTAAATCCAGCAGTTCTGAGATAAATTTGAGATATTTTACAATGAAAGTGAAGTGATTTTTAAAGCATGGCTTTAAGTGCAGGTGACTAGGGTTAACTAGAGTGTACAGAAGACAGTCTTCTGGGTGTGGTCCCCCTTCCTAATATTGGTCACGAGCCTAATCATCACTCCATAATTTGGTTATCACACTCTCCAACAGGGATGGAAGAAGAAAAGAGGAAACCAAAATTTCTTCCTTTTATAGCAGTGAGAAGTTTAGAATCATTTCAGTCAATGAAAAGTAAAATGGATTTTTTTAGGATCTCAGTACGTTTCTAATGTACAGTAACTGGGGTGTACCGTGTTGGGATTCAGACTCACTGATGGCTCACTGGACTGTAGGACCCTTCACTTGTATGCATTTTAACTCTTAATAATTGCTATGGTGACCTACTCAATTTGGTTGCCATGCTTTCTTCTGATAATGTTTGCAGAAGGGCAGACGGGGATGTGGTTTTGGTTGCTTGCTTGGGACATATTCATGTTTTTGGGTGGTAGTAGTATTTTTAACTGGACGATAATATTCTTATTTAAAAACATGCTACCTAAAATAACTCACCATCTGGAATTTGAGGCTCTTATTTAGTACTTTATTTTTTATTCAGATAATAGTCACTGATCATGCAGGGCAAGGAAGAAGTAACTGACATTTTAAGAACATAAATCTCTATAACCGTTGTTTGTGAAATTAAAGTTTCGTGTCACAAGTTTCCAGTGCTAGTAAAGAATGCTGCTGGGCCAGAAAGTTTTAAGAAATCACTCCAAGGATGATATGAGTTTCATTACATCATTATCAAAGTAGGTATTGAATTAAGAAGTTCCACTAATTGCAAAAACTGATTTTATAGCACTAGAAAAACTATGAAAATGAAAAAGAAAAGCTACATTCTTAAGCCCTGAGGTTACTTCTTAATATGGACTTAAATTTGTTTAAAAAAAAATTGTTTTCCCTATGATGCCTTCCATGTCTGGTTATCTCCTAAACCTGGAGGGGTCTTAGTATTTTGTTTAGGTTTCTGTTTAGATTTTTCTTACTAGTGTTATATCTTCTGCAGAGTGAGGCGACGGCGAGATCAGGACGATACCCTGAACCAAAGATACCCTGAGAACAAAGAGAAAAGAAGCAAAGAAGACAAAGAAATTCAAAACAAGTACACAGAGAGGGAGGTGTCAGCAAAAGAAGATAAGCCCATGCAGTGCACAGCCCAGAAAGCCAAGCCAGTGAGGGCAGCTGTTGACCCGGGGAGAGAGAAAGTTCTCAGGCCACCGTGGAAAAATGGAAAAGACAGGATGACAAAGACTTAAGAGAAAAACGCTGTTTTATTTGTGGAAGAGAAGGACACATTAAAAAGGAATGCCCGCAGTTTAAAGGTTCTTCAGGTATGGACACCAATCACACCTTGATGTTTGCCCTCACATCTCAAAGGAGATCTCTTTTTTAGAGTTCTCAACTATCTTAGTTATATTCATTTTTTAACAGATCTCTTTCCTGGAAAAGATTTTGTTTTTAAGAAGGTGAACCCACCTCCCCTGGCCTTTAATTCTGAGCCTTTAAATGTCTTAAACACTTATTCCTGGTTTTATTAAGAGGCTTATCAAAGTCATTTGGTTGACTTTTCTAATATGATTATCAATAAATTGGAGCCCTGGTCATCCCCGGTACCTAAAAAACAAAGCCTAAGCAGCCAGAAAACAAGCTACCGCTTGAGCACTGCCACTCAGTGTGTGCACTTTTGAAATGGAAACCCTGAACGACCATGGGGGCGGCACAGCTGAAGTGATCTCAGGACAGCATACCGTGTGTGCCGCGAACCACTTGTATTGTGTAAATACACGTAGAAAGAGATGGGTTACACGGTTACCAGTGGCTCTATCCACAGAGGAGAGTTACAGGGAGTTATCTTTGCATTTCATCATTTTAATACTTTTCTGCAGTGAACATGATTATTCTTACGGTGAGGAGAAATATATTACCAGTCCATAGTTGAGAACCATCCATAAATCTTGTCCCTCTGAGTTGTCAGATCTCGATCTACCTTTTCTGTTAAATGGGTGAAGCATCCGTTGTGGGCACCCTTTTAACAGACTGTATCAAGAGTAAGGGTACCTCGTGTGTAGGGGGTAAGTCAGGTTTTACAAAGCAGTCTGTACACTCTCGCTTTGTTTTCTCAGAACAGACCTGTGAAACTGGGTGAAATTTGATTAGCATAGAAATGGAACCCTGAGAAATGTTTTTGATTAAACTAGTAACCCTGTTCCCATCCTCAGATGTAAATATTTATGGATAACATAAAAAAGCCAGCACTGCTGGCAATTTCCTTAAAAAGCTATGTTGTTCCTAGAACAGTAATATCTCTCTTCCATTTTATATCATATCAGGAATATAGTATTTCTTTTTTTTAAGACAGAAAACTTTTAGATCAGCTCTTTTTATTTTTTTATAATAAGCTTTATATGAAAAGAATTATATTTTTTAATTGTTTTATTATTGGTTTAAAATAGGACTTAAATGTTTATGGAAGATACAGGGCCAGCTTGCCTGACTTCTGAGAAACTCAGACAGATTCAAATTCAAACTTTTTTGCTCTCACAGGAGACATAAACCAGAATAAAATGATTTTTCTTTCTAAGAGGTAGCATATGTAAAAGAAGTTAAAATAATAGCAATAGCTAACACTCACTGAGCACTTACTGTGGGTCAGGCACTATTTTAAGTACTTCACATGGGTAATCTCATCAAATTTTCACCACAGCCCCATAAATGTGGTATTATTGATATCCCCAGTTTACAGATGAGGAAACTGTAAACAGTGTAGAGAAGATGTAATAGTCTTACCAAAATTACATTTGTAGGCTGCCCTTCAGAAGAACTCAAGGTGTGTGTGTGCGCAGAGCAGGAAGCACATTCGTGTTGCGTTCTTCTTTGGTCCAACCAAGTGGTGGAAGAATGGCCCTGCGTTCCCCCTGCTTGGATGGATTTCTTCTTCCTAGCTAGTAGCAAGTTTTAAGATGTCTACCAGTGAAGTCCTCAGAATAGTTAGAGCAATGATCTGGCCGGCTAGAGGATGGCAGCAAATCAAAGAGAGAGGGGATATCCTGGGGCGGGGATGGGGGATTACCAAACCTACCGAAAGCACTAGAATCTTGGTTTCTTCAGAATTCAGTGTTTACACATTCAAGTCGTGATGTGACCTGAATGTGTAAACATTGCTTTATACTATGATGACTTGATTACAAATCAAGTAGTCATCATAATATAAAAGCAAAATAGCGAAGGGAGGAGTGGGGCTAGAGTATGGTGAATTTCCTCCAGTAGCAGTTGAAAGTAGTCAGCTGCTTCACGTCTGAAAATTATGTTACTCCCTCTTATTTCTTCAAATACGTTATAATTTTGTCCACATGATACACTGAATGGAGCTTCTGTCGTGGAAACAGGAAGCCTAGCCATGAAAGTTTGAGAACAGGGCTGCTATTTTCAATCTCAAGTAGGAACACAAAGTGCTGATTTCTTTCTCAGGTCTGTCTAAATCAGATTGTGTATTTGGATCCCCTTCTTCTTTGAGACCAGCTGGCACATTTGTTCAGGTAAACCTAGCTCAGACCTGAGCAGGCAGCCCTCCCATCATCTGTCTCTCCCGCAAATACTCACTGAGTGCTAGCTGCTCTGTGCCAGGTGCTCAGGAGGTGCTGGGCGGCCCCAGGCCCTGCCCTCCGTCCTTCTGGCTGACCCCCCGGCTCCTCTGCTCTGCCCTCGGCGTGGGCGGTGTGCGGTGAGGCTTGCTGTGCACCGGCTGGCCGGGCGTGCTTTAAAGAGTCCCGCATATGTGTCTCGCTTCTCGATTAACTTGCAAAGTTCTGCCACCTTCATGCCTAATTTCAGCTCTCCTTGGATATGGTTACAGTTGTCAGGCTGTTTCAGATGTTGTTCCTTTCGACTTTGTAAACCAGTCTATTTCATTTTTTAGGCAGTGCATTTACATGAAGACCAAAAGAAACAAAAAACATCTATATTTTTGAGTCCCCAGTCAGGTATGTGGGTTTAAAAAAAAAAATGTGTGTTATTTTATTTACTGCATAGTTTACCACATGCCTTTTGAGGTGCTTCCTTTGAATAAGTGGTTTTAACAGGGGTTGGACATCAGAATCACTTGGGGGAAATTTTAAAAATACAGCTGCCCTGCCCCCACCCTCATTTCCTAAATCAGATTTTTCAGGGGTTCGGCTTGGGCCTGTGTATTTTTTAAGTGTCCTAGGTGACTCTTATACCATCCTTGAGTAGGAACCATAGTCTTCAGTTATTTGTTTTTCTTCTACACTTTTTGTTTCTGCTTTGAAATTGCCACTGTCTTGTTAGCAGTATATTCTCCTCATGAAGGTTATTTGCCATGCGCCAGAGTAAAGAAAGAAAAGAATCATTGGACTGAACTCTCTCTCTCAGCTACATCATTTATTCATTCCTTCAGCAGATAGTTATTAAGCCACACGTCCTCCGCTCCCCACTCCCAGCCTCCTCCAAGTGCAGAGTGTGGACCTAAACACTGAAGATACAGCATACAGCAGTGAACCAGCAAAGCCCCTTCTCTCTTTTACTCTACATTCTTGTCAGAAGAGAGACAGAAATATTTCATGAGGCGACAGGTGCTAAGAAATAAGAAATGTACAGCAGGAAAAGGGAAAGAGAATGGGTAGGGAGGTGGCCTGTCTGATAAAGTAACGTTTAAAAAGTAAAGAATCAAATGAAAGGAAGGGGCAAGTAAAGAAGAAATTGGAGTTAGACTGTTACAGCAGAGCTGAAAATAGTTTTGTCCTAAGTGGGTGACATTAAGTGGGACGGGGGTGGAGAGGGTGGTCAGAGGTAAGGTCAGTGTACACCTAGCTGGGTCACGTGGCTCCTTCAGCAGCGGTCGGGATGGGTTTTTCCTCTCCATGAGATGGACAGCTGTTGGAGGGTTTTGAGCAAAGCAGTGGTATTGTCTGAATTGTTTAAAAGGTTCACTACAGCTGCTGTGAGGAGGCAAGGGTGAAAATTCAAACCAATGAGGAGGCTCCTGCTGCTGTTCAGGGGAGAGGTGAGGACAGCTTAGACTTGGGTGGGAGCAGTGGAGGAAGTGAGGACTGGTCATGTTCTGGAGACTTTGAAGATAGCACCAACATGATCTGTTGATGGGTTGGACAATAAAGCATGACAGAAAATCATAAGATTTTGAAAATCAGAGCTGACACTGCAATTTTTGATCTGAGCAACAAGAAGAATGGAGTTTGAATTTCTTGTGCTGGGAAACGGTCAGGAAGTACAGATTATGGGGAGAAATCGAGTTCAGTTTTAGAAAAGAAAGTTTTAACAGACCTGCTAGATAATGGGGTAGAGATGTTGAGTAGCCAAGTGGATCTAGGAGCCTGGCGTTTAGAGCAGAAGTCCAGGCTGCAGATACAAATTTGCTTGTGATCAGCGTGAGGTAGGTGGTAGTGAAGCCCCGACTCTGAGTGGGGTCGCCTAGGAAGTACATGCAGACAGAAAAGAGGAATGCATGTGAAGACTCAGGCAAAATAAAAGAGACAGAGGAGAAATGGTTTCTGGGGGAGAAGAAGCAGTGAGTTGGGTCCTGGAGTCCAAGTGGAGAAAGTGCCCCAGAGAAGGGGAGTTCACTTTGACTGTGCGAATTGCTGCTCATAGGTCTGTGCAGGGTGGACTGAGAATTCAGCATTTTATTTGGCAACACAGAAGTCACTCACTGTGACTTTAAAAGAGCCGTTTCTTTGGAGTAGAGGGCAGAAAAAACCCGACTGTAGGGAGTTGTGCTGAGAAGTGCTGAAAGGATTGCAGGCTACCTCATCTCAGTTGTGGGTGCGCAGTGCCAGGACCCCCATCCCCACCCAGTCCCCAGGCCCAAGGAAGGGTGCTGCTGAAAGGGAGGGGGAGATGGGAGGCTGTGAAGCCTTTCTTAGGTGTTTTGAGAGTGTTTTGAGTCCTGAAAGAGAAGGCAGAACTTTGAAGGGGAATAGAGAAATCAAAGTAACTAACCTATACTGAATCACTTTTTCAGCTTTTTTCTTTTAGTAAGGGATGAAACTATAAAACATGATGCAAACATCTGAGTTCTGGCCTGTAGACACCTTTAGTAACCTTGTTTAGTATGTCTCTCTCTGTCTGTCTGTCTCATATCTTGTCCTATCTTGTTCAGTAAAGTAGGGTTAAAGGAGGGAAATTATATAATCAAATAGAGCAAGTGTACTCTTTAATTTGATCGTATAGTCGATGAGGAAAGTTTTTGACATTTTAAAACTTCATTGATATAACCTGACATTTTTTGTATATAATGTAAAACAAGCCACATATTTTATGCTCAGCCTTTTCACATTGTGTCTTACTGCTAATGTGC